GATTATTTATTTTTAATCAATCTATATTCATGTGAAGTGTAGCTCATCTGCATTTTTCTTTCCCTGGAACCTAAATGTATATTATGAATTTGAATCCATCAGAAACTAAGTCAGTCAAAATCAAATTTAACTACATACGAAGTGAAAACGATTTGTATTTCGCAAATCAAAGTGATAGTTAAAGCAACCAAACTGTGTCAGAAATGTTCCCAAATTACTGGGTAAGGCTTTTATCAGCTCATCATCTGATCCAATAATTTTAATTGTGGCATTTCATTCGGCATGTCGCCGCACGACTTCTATGATACTCAAAGTCTCACATATATAATTTGAAAGGGGGGGTCTGGGGGGGCGGCGCCCCCTCAGCAGGTAGCTTTTGCTACTTGTTTTTTACTGAGGAAAGGAAATAGTGTGTTCAATTTTGACAGCTTACCTTCGAGAAGCATTTCATCTGCCTTATGGGGTTCATGATCCAAAAAAGCACTCTGTTCTGTCTCTGCTGTTTGTAACATTCCTTAATAACTTTTTTCTTATCTTTCAAAATTTCATGCCTTTTGCAGGTATTGGATTGGAGTGGAATCAAAAACACATTCTTGTATTCTGATCTCCATCCATTAGCTCGAAAAATCAATGCTGCCAAATTCCAGATGGGGAAAGTTGATGTACTCGTTGTGACGGACATTGCTGCCCGCGGTATCGACATACCTCTGCTAGATAGTGTCATTAATTATCATTTTCCGCCCAAGCCTAAACTATTTGTACACAGAGTGGGTAAGTTTAAAAAAAAAGTCCGGAAAATATTTCTTTTAAGTTTATATCATGCTCTTTTGAATTTTTTCCTTTTCCAGAAACTTACTTCTCCTTTCAGCTTTTGGATTTTTCTCTAGATAATTTCTGAGCTCAAAATAATAGAAACCAAAGAAACTGTTTTTTTTAAAAAGAAATAGCTATATCCAGAGTGGAAAACATTTGCAAATTTTGAAGCAATAGGTCAGTTGCCTGTGTCGCAGCATCGAACTCTGATCCTTGAACTGCATGAATTAGCAAGCATAAATGAGATCTACCTAAATGGTAAGTTCATGTGCTCTGCATCAACGAATATGTGTATCCTTTTAAAAAATACACTTCTCTGTGTCAGTGTTCTCCATGGTCGTTTTTCCTGTCAGTGAGGCATGTGAAGCAAGCAATGCAATTAAGCAGTGCAGACTGACGTAGCCATTAAATCAGTCTGTTTCAAGTTAAACTGGAGAAATACCTCCATCATATTTACAGCAGATTACATTGGTAATGAAGAATTTCTGTTTTACTCTCTTCTGTTTTATTCTCCATCTTGAGCTGTTCATCAATTTTCAATTTACTATTTGTTAAGGTCGTGTTGCCAGAGCTGGTCGTCAGGGTACAGCTTACAGTCTCATTAGCCATGAGGAAACATGCTATCTTTTCGACTTACACCTATTCTTAGGAAGACCTTTACATTTAGCATCCATAGAGAAGGAAGAAAATCCGCAAGATTTCACCCTGGGTTCAATACCGACTGAGCTCTTGAATGAGGAAATAGAAGAACTGAGGAACGCTTACACTAATGTTAAATTAGACCTGGTAGGATCATTTCAGACCGATCTAATCCATTAATTTATATAGTTTTCACTACATATTATCAGAGCTCCCTTAGGAAAAATTGAGAAAATAAAACTTCTGAATTCTTTTCATCATCCTGTCCAAATGAAAAAAGATAATAGAGACAATTTTTAAAGATTTTCAAGGCTGAAAATAAAAGGTAAAATTGATCTCTTGACGGGAATTTCAAATTAGGTGGGATTAAAGTTTCTTTTTTTCCAGAAGAATCCTTTGGAAACCTTTGTTGTATGGACGATGAAGCTTGTATTCAATAACAAGTCTTTTATAGATGCAGAAAAGTTCCAAATACATCAAAGAAGAAATAGAAATGAGAATTGGGAAATCAACAAACTTGAGAAATTTGCTCTCCTGACAGTATATCCCTTTTTTTGTGTATTCTTTGACTCTTTCTGAAGTGGGAAACACTGGTAACAGCATTGACTGTGTATCATATTATACAATTATGAGCCGTCCGTAAAATACTATACTTAACGCTAAATTGCAGATTTTTCGATCTCTTCTTTGTAACATTTTTATGACGGAGGTCTGTATTTCTGATCTTGTCAAAACAAAATGGTGTAACACTCTCCTTGACCTACCCTCCCATAGAGCATTATGCATTTTGTGAACGACCTCTTATTGAACTCTATGAACGACCTCTTATTGAACTCTGAACTGCAACTTTTTGTTTTACATTTGCAGGAGTATAAACTACAAGGATGTACAAACGCTTTCAAGCAGTTCAACAAATCACGTCCAGGAGCGTCAAAAGAAAGTGTAAGGCGTGCAAAACAGTTCAAGGCATCGAGTCTAGGCATTCACCCATCATTCTATAAAGTCACTAACACAGATTCAGATGTTCTGAGCTTCCTAAATAAAATGAAAAATTACAAACCAAATAGGGTATGTTACTAATTTTTTCTTTTTTTCTTTTAATGTAAATTAATTAGAAAAGTAAGCATGAGGATGCTTTTGCCACTCTTCCATTAACAATAAGCTGAACCATTACTTTAAGAATTTACTTTATTTACAAGATCTTACATTCTTTGGAGGTGACAGAGCGTTTGTTCTGACTTTATCCTATTTTATCAGATCATTGTCATACCGCAAAAATTACAGTAGTTTTTTTTTGCCGTCTTTCTAATCTTTGATTTTTGCTGACTATCTTTTGTAAATAGGAGAAAATGTAATGAAGAATGAACCACTTTTAATAATTTGACACACCAGAACTCATTCAATGTTTTTGATTCTTGCGTATAACAAGTATGCTCATGCTCATTCAATGCCTGAAGATATTAATTACTTGGAGGTAACCAAGCAAAGTTATCAGCCTAACTCTAAGATTGTCCGTCCAATGTTTTTTCATCAAGCCCAGTCGCAAACCTGTGTGTTAACTTCTCGGTTGAAAAAATCGTGAAACTAAATTGCTGTTTTCTAGAAGGCTTTTTTTCAGTTGCACTCAATCTGTTTCAGACAATTTTTGATAAGGTGAAAGATTTTAACCAAACAGCAAAAGATATCCAATTTGGGTCATGGTTCCCAGCACAGATAGCCAAACAGAAGGAAAAGAAGGAGAAAGCAGATTCCTTGCGCGGTTTACACGATTCCAATGCAGAGGATTTTGAAAAGAAAGGTATTTTGACACCCTTTTCATGGTTTTAATGCATACTGCTCTTAGATTTATCACTATTTTTGTCGGTTTCTCCTCTCATCAACGTCTATTTTTATACCCTTAAGTAATATTCCTTTCATTTACCCCCTCTGTTAAAATGTTGAAAACTGTAGATTGGGTGTTTGGATGGAATGAATCATTTTACGCCAGTCTAAAAGCATAATTTTTTTGTAGATCGGTTGAGCCAAATTGGGCGTTGCTCACCTTGTTGGGTGGGATCATCAAGTTACTTCATAGCAATTGTACGGTACTGCACGGTGCGTTGTTAATCTTCTACTGTTTCAAATAATCTGTGTTGTTCATATGACAGGCTTTGCAGTTCTTCTGGCTAAAGATTGGTGAAATTTTGACTTATTGTCAGGGCTCAAAACAAATCTTAAAAACCTTAACATCTTGATGATCCCTGGTGCGTAGATGAAATGCATAACACATCTGAGATCTTTGCTTAACCTATCAGCTAAGGAAATACACGCTTCACAAGATTCAGCCATCAAAACAAAATGCTATGGCGCACACTGTGTACTCATTTACATTGTTTGACATCAAGTTTATTGTTTTTTCTTTCTGGATAAATTTATTTGCCGCTAAAAATTATTCCATGATCATGGATTCTTATCATGTCTTTCCTTTTTGTTTAGTTATCAACATGGAAACATTCCCGAAAAGAATTCAAATGCATGTGGACTCAGATTATTATATTCGACATGCACCAGATGATGAACAAACTGAAAAAGGGTAAGGCTCTTTGTTTTCATGCACCTCCAGTAGATCTTTTCCAAAAATCAGATGTATTCCCTCATTGGTTTTCAGTGTGAAAATAGATGGGCTAATGAAACCAAAGAGAACATGGATTTTAAAAAATCTTACAGGGAGTTTTTTATTAAATGATAAAAGAGAGGGAGGAAAGTAAACTCAAAATAATTATTTGAATGCTCAAAGCTTGAAAATTTACCCGCAATGGACACACAGACCTCCTTTATGCATTGAGGAATGTCCTCCTTTAGGTGCCACCCTCCTCTGTTTAACCCAAATTTTTATTATGAGGGCTCGCTATGGTATGAAGTTACATGTTTATTTTTCTGCAGTATATGATAAAAATCCCTCATACTTCTTTTGAAGTCAGTACAACATTGTTTCAGTTTTATACTTGGGTGTGACTTATCACTTAATCAGTCTTGAAGCAGACTTTTTTTTTGGCAGGAAAAAAGTTACTTTTTAAGTTTCTTTTATCAACAGATTTTAGTCATTGTGTGATCTTCTTTGTCTGCTTTAGCCTTTCATTGGATGATGGTCGTCAGAATATACAGCGCGCTGCTATGGACATAACTGCGGATGATGACGTCTCAATAAGGAAACAAAAGACTCTCATTAAAAAGTGGGATCCAAGCTCAAAAAAATATGTGTTTAAAAATACTGATACGGTCAAGAAAGTCAAATCAGAGTCCGGTTATTGGATTCCTACCTCTTACAAGAGTGGACGATATGATAAATGGGTAGAGAAGAACAAGATCCAAGAGGAGAGCGAAGATAGTGAAGACGAAACAGTCAATCCCTACAAAAAGAAACCTACAAAACCATCAGGTATTTCAATGGATTCATTATATTCCATTTTGGTAATTTTACTGATTTTAGAGGAAAACATGTTAATTCTGATCCAAAGGCAGATTTACCCAACCCAGATCAAAAAGACAAGTTCCTAAAAAGTCTAGAAATTTCACTCAGATCAGAGGGCAAGAGAATAGTGCTGTGTATGCATTTTGTCAGTCTTACTTTGACGACAAAGGCACTTTATGCCAGAAATGATAGTAAGGCAGACTCTAATGTCAGGTGGCATCTAGCAGCATCCCTGAATAAAGTTCCCTCGCACTTTTGAACTGTATTCAGAAATCATGTGACAGTTTGAACCAGAATTAGAAAGCATGTCTCTAAGATGTTTTATGGGACTAAGAGATCACAATCTGTGGATGAGTAGAACATCATTCCACAATTCGTTATCCACCTGTCACTCATTGGTGTCTGATGCCGTTCCAGAATTAAATACACTGTCAAGCACTGACACCTGGCACTTCAATCAATGTATTTATTTATTCTCTTGATTGTAAGATGTTAAATTTGTGAGTATGAAAAGTTTAATAAAACCAATGCCTCTTTTTTCAGGTTTGGTCACTCACGTAAACACACATTGGGCTCGGCACAATCAGAAAATTTTGAACAAGTCAAAACCTATACTAAAATCCAAAGACAGCATTATGAAGCAAAGGAATATCAAGGAAAAAATGAAAAAGAAAAATAAAAAGAAAACTAAGAAATAAATCATAGTTTGTCTGACTAATGTGTTGTTATTTTATGATCTATAGAGTCTTCAAATAATGGCGATGTGAAGTTGTTCCTGCAGGCAGGAGATACAATGTTTATTAATAAAAGTGACCATCAGGAAACTATTTCTTTGTTTCTTACTGAAGATTTTTAAGTACATACCTATACTATTTTTGTGGGAATATAAAAGCCTACTATAAATTAACCATAATTTATTTTCTCATTGTACCTCAAAATGCAGGGAATTTTGGCTTTTTACTAAAACGAAGAGCAAAAATTTAAATGTTTAGCTGCCTTAATCATTTTAATACTGCATTCTGTCTTTCTTACTACAGAGGAATCTGGAATTTAGTGAAGAAAGTACAGAAAATATGAAGACACCGTGAAAATTGATATGTTGCAGTGAAAGAGATAGGCAGGTAAACAAACTGGAAAATGTGCACCCGTGAGGTTGAATCTAAGTTTAACAAACTGTGATGGAGTAATAGAAAATAGATTACTATCTCGCAGTCTAGAGGGATTAGTTTTGCATTAGTTAGTGCCAAAAGCACACATAAATTTCGAATATTCAATCTTTGAAAGCATTTTAATTCAGATTGAGAACGAGAACGATGAATGCAGAAATGAGAATAATGCAGGCCAACTTTTGAGACAGTATCGGTGTGAATAATTATCAATAAAAATCAGCTATTGGTTTTATATTTTCAAAATGTTAGACTGGACTGGAATACTTTTTTAAATTCTCCATTGATTTAAAAAAGTATCATATTTATAACTTTACCTACCAAGTGTAAGGAAACAGCCGATACCTCTTGGCTCATTCAAAATAGGGAGGAAACTGTTTTCGGCTCTGAACACAGCCCATTTCAAACTCTAATTACTATTCTTTTGATAAAAATTAGGAGACAAAATAATAATTCTGTTTTTAAGAGAGAACCAGCAGAAAAAAACAAAATTGATACTCAACTCTTAGCATGGGTTTTCTTTATTTTACCATATTGCGAATTGGAAGGTTTCATCGCAACTCACTTTGCCTGACTACATGACAATTTTACAGACCCTCCTAAAAAAAAAAAGCTCAAGCACCAAAAATAAAAATATGCACTAGAAAAACAGTAAAAACTGTTCATATGGACCCATTTTAAATCTCAAAGACAAAACAAATTCATTTGTAAGAAGGCAATATAAAATCAGATAGTAGCTATTAATTTGAGCCGCATGAGAAAAAACAACAAATTGGCACTTGAGCATTCTGGAGAATAAATGAACAAATGTTGACATTTTCCCTTGTTTTAAGATTTTGTGTATAAAAGTCCGTTCTTTGCCACAAGATGCATCTATGCTTCAGCAATTACTAATTGCTAGTAAATCGATTTTTTATTTTTTGGTTCTTGAGCTTTTTTGAGTGAGATAAATTCAATTAATGCTGGATGGTACCAAAATAACTGTGAAACTACTCTTGACTAAATTATTTATGAGAGTAAATTACTATCTACACAGATGAGGTCTGGACAAAAAAAATTAGAAACAAATTTTAAAAAGAAAATATGTAATCAAAAAGTACAAAAGCATACAAACTTAAAAAAAAGTTTCTACATCACAAATTAAACAAATAGACCCTCTGAGTGAGGGTAAGATACTTAAGGTTCACTCAATGATAGGACAATTTCCCTGTTATTATGTCTGTTCTCAGCTCTTTCTTTTTGTAATTTTTGAGCGTGTCGGTAGAACTTTTCACGAAATGCGGCGCCATAAGATACTGTGAAAGCTTCAACCTCATTTAACTGGAAAAAAACAATATTTTGACATATATAGTGATAGAGGTGGTGTCATGAGCCCACAATCAAGATATGTAAAATGAAACAAAAGATTTTTGTTGAACAAGGTTAAGAACTTTCTTGATTCCTTTCAATAGTATTTGTGTTGCCTAAACCTGTTATGTAAACATGAAAAATCAAAGTGAAATTCTGCTCACAAAAGTATCAGAGAGTAAAAAAGCATTTAAAGAGGAGAATTTCTATACTGTCGCACTCTTTAAATCCTCAGACAACACTTTCAAAAAATTTAACAAGGACTCCCAGAAGTCTTTGAACATTTTATCCACCCTATATGAGGAGGCTTTTGTTTTGAAGATGATTTGAACATCTTATAGAAATATTTAAGAATATCCAACTTACCTCAGGTTCTTTTATTTTTTCATATGTCAACAGTCGCCGTGATGTAAAAGTTGATAGCTTTTGCTCACAGTTACTCACTAAAGTCAAGCAACGATGCATTGGCAATTCATTAGGATCATAGTCGCACCTGCAAAACATAAATACATAATAGGTTAAGTTCGTGGATAATAGGTATGTCCTGAGAGAGAAATTAATTTTGTAGTATTTTAGTTCTGGAGTTCGAAAGAAACATAAAATAATGAGGTGACTTATTAGTGCATTCCACAAATTGATGGCGGAATTGCAGAACCTCGTCTCTCTGTTAGCAACGTGCAAACCTCCTGTCATACTTCATTTTTTCTTTGAAAAACCAATCAATGTAATTTTTTTAAAATTGTTTTGTTTTTTCTTTTCTGTCAGTGGAAAATGCTGTATAAATTTCTAGTTATAAAGTTGCCTTATTTCTCATCGCAAGAGTAAAATAGGACCGGAAGTTTTAAATATAACAATGGAGATACGGTATTCACACTTCAGTCATCGATATTTAAAAAAATATTTCATAAAAAGAGATCATCAACAAGGTCTAAAGTGGAGAGAAATCAATTTGAACTTACATTAAAACAGGTAACCATGTGACCAGCCGTCCTCCCACTTTCAGATGAGTGAGCGAAAACTTAAAGAGATCCTCTAACATTTTGCTAAAATCGTATTCTATTTTAGATGGTATGTGTATTTCATTTTCAGGAACAACATGCTTGCCATCTTGAATTTTGGTAGATCCAATTGTTTCAGCAGACTCTCTAATACCATACGGCACTGAAAAATTAAAAATCAAAGTAAAAAAAAACCATTTCTTCCTAAGACTCTTACAAAAGAAAAAAAAACACACACATATTCTGACTAATCGCTGTAAACAGTTTACAGTGAAATTTCAAAAAGATTCCTTCATACAAATATCTTTTTAGGGAACTTTTCTTATGGCTTTAAACCTTAGAAGATAAGTTTAGAAGTTAAGAAACTGTCTCATTTCAGGCAAGGCTAATAAAGAATGGTGGTCGTATTTCATACACTCTTGACGTTACACGGCATCAGGTACGTTTCGAGTACATCCTGTTTGCATGGCAAAGCAAATACCCTCTTTGCATCACAGCCTTTAAAATGGCGGCTCAACTCAAAATGTGTTCACCTTTCTTTATCCACTTTGCATTTCCGGCGCATTCTTTTCCAGTGAAAGGTCACCTCAAAACAAAATTGATTTGATCAGTAAATGGGAGGCAATAACTTACCAGGAATAAATTGTTGTCAGAGGAATAGTAATCATACAAAAAGTACTTACTATCTGTGATAATTGCGTCTAAAACTAAAGAAGAACTCCATGGAGGTAAGGCTGCATCAGCAACAATAACATCTACATACCGACTTTGACATTTATATTGCTTCATATTCTCGAAAATGCTTTCATCCACTCGAGGTTTATCCTGCAGTCAATATGAAGGATGGCATCATCAAAATTTAAAGATTAAAATGTACAAAAATAGATTCTAAGATTGGTCTTCAAATTTTAGGGCCCTGTCTCAAAGGAAAATTTAAAAGCAATTTTGATTTAATTATAAGAAAATATTGTTTACTTTATTAGACATGAATGACAGCTTTCATTAAAATCCAACGATTATCGAAAACAAACTTGATCTGTCAGTTGGAGTTAGAGGGCTACATTTGAATGAATTCCATGCATAAAGGTGCATTTAAGAGATGAGGCTTTATCTTCGATGCGCTGTCTTCTTCCAAAAAATTCATAAGAGCAGGGGGAGGGGGGCGTCTGTATTTTAAGTTCCTACTTCAAATGGGCCGTGTTTGGTGCGTGCGTGTGTTTAATTATCTTTATCAATGTTAAAAAAGCTCTGACTTACCCTAGTCTGCTTCCGACTCTGCTTTGTTTTACCATGTAACATTAAATAATCAATATCCGATCCGAATACATAAGCACCGTAGTAAGCAGCTGCTACTAAAAGAGAACCTGGAAAAGTCAAGTTGACTGTTAAATATTTGTTGGCCTGTAAGGAATGCTCAAAGCGAGGATATTTTAAAACTACACAGTGGAGTTTCTAAATTCTTCCACAGCTTTTTTCCAAGGCACTATTTTCAGGACATAGAATATGTAACGAGATACAAAGATACACTTTCGGAAGGGATCAGCAGATATTTTTGGAAGTTATGCGTAGCATTTGGTACCCCATGCACAACAAGTTGCAGTGCTTAGCAAGAGGGCAGATTTTCATACTTTAAGCTACCCTACCTATCCTGCCTTATGTAGTTTTATGCGTGATCTAGGTAGTATTGTATTCCTTGTTATTAATGCTCTAAAAAATCTAAAAATAGTCATCTATACTTCAAAATTAGCATTTAACCCTGTATGGCATGAATTAATTTTAAATCTTAAATTCTGGGGGGACACTAATCTATTTTGTAGCTCGCATGAAAAAACACTGAGTACCATATTTTGTATCAAACTTTTAAATGTTTGGGAGTCAGTTATTCGAAAAAAGAAAAAACTAATGAAAATTTGCAAAATCATGCCACAGAGGAAAGATTCAATTTTTAAAAACCCCAGAATACGAATTCATAACGCTTAAAACGAGGGTTAAATGCTGTATCAACACCATGTTTTCTTATCTAAACTTCTATTGTTGATTTATTCCTTCGCTTTTTCTTCAAAAGTTGTAGCATACTGAACAGAACAAAAAGCATCACTATGATTGCAATGTAGGTTCTCTTATAAAATAAAAAGAAGGATAGCGATTGCTTCAAGGATTAATGGATGCTCAAGGAGAGAATGTGAGTACCCTCAAAAGAAAAATTCAGTGTTCACACTCGAAGAAATCATACCTGAACCGACAAATGGATCAAAAACAAGATCGCCTGGCTGTACTTTGGCCTGATTAGCCATGATTAAGGATAGCTGCGAATTCATGCTTGTGTTTCCAATGAACTTCCTTGTTTTCAAAGAGAGCTCTGTGATTAAATCTCTTTGACCATGAGCTATCTGAAATGTGAGCACAGAATGAAATAAATAGCATCAGCCATTAAAAGAGCAGGGTAGGAAAATATGAAACCTAGATAACATTATAAGGAAGCTATTGCATATTTGCTGCTGAGTTCCTAAACTGGCAAATGAGGATTTGTCAAAATTCAGCAATTTAAAATAGATGCTCAAAGCGAGTTTATCAGGGTCAATAGTCTTTTACACTTAGAAAGGACTACGTGCAAAACGGGCCATTTGGGGCTGGAGGCGGATACCTTTGAGACTTGCCCTATTCATTCACCTAACAATGCCCAATCTTTTCGCAAAGTTTCAAGCCCCCCAAAAATTTTGGGGAGACGCGGCGGGGGGTCAAAGTTAAAAACCGGCAAAATTTTCGCGAATTTATTACTCAAAAACCAAGAAGTTTTGGAAAACGCAGTTTAAACGAGCGTATTCAGCGTGACGAGAGCTTTCAGAAAATGTATAACATCATAGGGTTTTGTCAACTTCAGCTCGAGTTATCGCCTCCGAAGCGCCGGAACGCTAAGAAAAGACCTCTTATTTTTTCACGTTTGGGCCGATTTAAAAAAAAAGCCATTTTTTCATTTTGATGAAAAACTGATATGTTGTTCCTGACTCTCTGTAGCCCCTCTAGTTCTTTACCGCATGCTGGGGAAATGTTTTGGTCGCAAGTTATAAGAGCGGAAAGGAGCGAATGTCGGGAAAATCGGCTATTTTAAACTGCCCGCGCGGCGTTGATCGGAGGGAAAACGTCCCCTCCCTCTCAGTTCGCCGAATCATACTCTTCTGCCGACCTCGCATTGTTGCCACAAGTCTCTTGATCCGTCGCCGCGCGTAGTTTAAAACAGCCGATTTTCCCGACATTCGCTCCTTTCCGCTCTCATAAGTTGCGACCAAAACATTTCCCCAGCATGCGGTAAAGAGCTAGAGGGGCTACAGAGAGTCAGGAACAACATATCAGTTTTTCATCAAAATAAAAAATGGCTTTTTTTTAAATCGGCCCAAACGTGAAAAAATAAGGGGTCTTTTCTGAGCGTTCCGGCGCTTCGGAGGCGATAACTCGAGCTGAAGTTGACAAAACCCTATGATGTTATACATTCTCTGAAAGCTCTTGTCACGCTGAATACGCTCGTTAAAACCGCGTCTTCCAAAACTTCTTGGTTTTTGAGCAATAAATTCGCGAAAATTTTGCCGGTTTTTAACTTTGACCCCCCGCCGCGTCTCCCCAAAATTTTTGGGGGGCTTGAAACTTTGGGAAAAGATGGGGCATTGTTAGGTGGATGAATAGGGCAAGTCTCAAAGGTATCCGCCTCCAGCCCCAAATGGCCCGTTTTGCACGTAGTCCTTTTCATCCAATACATCTTTAGATTCACGTTTCTGGCCAAAAATGTCCAATTTTTGAAAAAAGTTCAACAAAACATGATTATCGCATCTTACATTACACAGCTAGGGGAATCCCAGATAAACGTCAACAAATAAATTCAAGATTATGAAATATTTGAATATTTGAGGAGGAGGAAATGTTTCATTAGTTTTTGGTTGGCCAAAAAAATGCATCTTGTTGACTTTAAAACTTCTGGGGAACAAACATCGTACGAGAAAAGTTGAGCTTCCATCAAATCTGGGGAGTATGCCAATAAACTATACAAATGCAGTAGATCTGGTACCAGACCCACTTGGCTGACTGCAAGATTTAGTAGGAAGAGAAGCAGCAATGTTGACTGCGTAGGGGTGTCCCTGGTGCAGGAGAGCTACTTGTAGGAAAAGGCCATCAGCTCCTTCAAAACAAGGCAATTCGACGGCGTGAGTCCGCTACCACATATGTTGTTTGCAGTGTTTGAAATCTCTTCCTCTTTATTATTTTTTTAAAAGAGAAATATTGACATTATTCCTTAAAGTTTTTGCAGAATTTTCTTCGCATAAAGAAGAGAAATCACGGCAGTTTAAAAGAATTGCAGTTGAGTAGTTTTCCATTTAAAAAATAAAGTATGACAGGAAGTCTTCGACGTTGCAAACTAAGATATGTGGCTGCGGACTTACACTGTCAAATTGCTCCACAGTGTTATGATCTACCACTACAGTCAATCATTCCAGTGTGCAATAACAAGACTGACTTAAGCATGATGTCAAGACTGACTTAAGCATGATGTCAAGAGTGACTGCAAGTAAAAACTCCTTGTAGCTGAGAATCAACTAGCTAATCAATAGATTTTCTTATGGAAGGAAGACTTTTTGTCATATCAAAAAGTAAGCTGTGAGGAGGATGAAAAATTAACTTGAATTGTTTCCTGGGGTAAATGCAGGTTTATAGATTTGATTTGAGATTTGGTGTTGGAAGACGGAAGGATATTTTCCTTCCGTAACTGATCAATCTCTGAGATCAGCATTAAAATTTGATGCTAATAGTCATTAAGTCACAACTAATAGCAAATATTTAATTGATCTTATCACAATCTATCACATCAACCGCTTGATAGATGGGGAGTGGGGATCTGTGTAGTAACTGATGTAGGTGTTTAGATTGTGAGAGGCGCTGTAGATTTCGAAACAGATTTCACCTCATTTCACTATCTAACTTCATCTAGCTCAACTTATTCTTTGGGTATTTGTCCCTTTTACTTAGGATGCGGTAAAAGAAATAAACTCACCAGTCTTCCAAAGAAAACATTATAGGGCTTGCTTGGAAGATTGTTGGGCTCCATTCCCCAATACTCTATTAAATTGAAAGTTACATCCGGATTCTTCAGCTTGACTTTGCCTTTCAGAGGAAGGTAGTTGAAAGTCTGGAAAAAATGAGGATAGATTCTTCGTTGAGAAAACTAGAGACAATCTTCAACACCAATTTTGATGGGCAATCATTTTTGTTGAATTTTACTTTATTTTTCTGATCAACTGTGAGAGGAGACACAGAGCAAACCATACAACCTTTGAGCGACTTGGAGGACAAAGCGTATAAGTACAGTTTTTGGTATTTCGAGAAAATATGTGTTTGAAGATTCAAAATTACACGCATCCTTAAGGACGGAAAGAAAGTTCAAACTGACTTTTTGATGCTTAAAAATTGGAATTTAGGAGCAAATTTTTCACCGAATATGCATCAAGACTAGTTAAACCTGAAATTATTAATACCTCAATTTTTAAAAAACTGCACTTACGCGCCTTATCCTCCAAGCTCCTACTTTGCGATGGTTGTCTATTTTGAAGTATTGACTTCTATTTCTGGGGTGGTCTTGAGTAGGTAACTCTTAGAGATGCATTATGCCAAATTGGAAATTTTAAGGAATCTCTGAAGTTGAAACATTGACAAAAAAGACAAACTAAAAAACTTAGCTAAAGAAAGACCACACAGCTACTCATTTACGACTCACGATAAAGATGCATATGCTTGCTGTCAGTGAACAATGGTAGTAAGTCATTTCTTGACTGCTCAAACTATGGTAACTTGAAATAGACAAGGGTACTCGCAAAGCCAAAAATAGACTATATACTCGCCTTGATCATTCAAAATCCAGAGTATTTAAATGGACACTGCTGCAATTATCAGTCTAGTTTTCCTTGAGAAATAATCACTATTCTGTGGTTTTATTGATAGTATTAGCATATTGAGGTTCTGAATCTAGGATTTTTGAAGTTTCAGCAAGATTATTATGGTTATTTTCAAGTCACTTCAGAAACATCTCCATTGTATTGCAGATATGTGGTCGCATGCTTCGAAACACATGAATCAAAAAATGGACTATCCAACTCCAAAAGTTTCTTATGAAATAATCATAGGATTCATTTTTAGATTGGTCAATGGCTTCTCTGCGTAAGATCAATAGGCAAGTACCTGCTTTTATTCTGGATTACCATGGTTCAAAATTTTTAATATCTTAGGTAGAGATGACTTTGATCTATCTAAACGGTCGGACCACTGTACTCAATTGGCTCACACAGGCTACAGCTCATAAACAAAGATAATCCTCAAATTTTCTTATATGCACTCATCTACAGAATCAAAATTAACTATCCAGAAAATAAAAGCTTGAATTTAAGAGAAGGAATGCAACAATTTCCCTCCAATACCAAGAGAAAACCTGTACCTACTAAACTTCTGGAAACTTACATCTATTTTCTCTACTTTCTCTGCAGCAGTTTGAGAATTTCCATAGCACTCAACTTTCACCTTGAAACTCAAATGCTCTTCACAATACTGTAGGATTTTACTCTCTGGCATGGACTTCAGCTCAGTGTGTAGATCCTCCATGCTGGTGGCTCCACCCCATAATTCAATTATGTACCTCATGGTGACTGACCGACTAGCAATTTGGATAGCATCGTTTTCATTTGGCAGTTCTACCAACCAATACGGCTGAAATAAGAAAGAAAATATTGATGGATTTTTTTTCTTATTACATATTATTATTAAATACCAGTGTAATAAATCTGGTTCTGGATACACATAAACTTTGAACTTAACAACATAATAATAAGCTCTTAAGCTCAATTTTATCACAGTCACAAGATACCATTAAATTAACCCTCTATGGCATGAATTAATTTTGGACCTCAGATTCTGGGGGATACTAATCTATTTTGCAGCTTGCATAAAAATCATGGAGTACCAAATATTTTTCAAAGTTTTACATTTTTGAAAATCAGTTATTCAAAAAAAGAAAAAATGAATGGAAATTTGCAAAATGAAACCACAGGGAAAAGATTCAATTTTGAAAAACCCCCAAAAAACATTGTTACGAATTGGTACTGCTATGCCATGGAGGGTTAATAGTACCTCTCAAGGGTTGTTAGAGCACAGTATTTTTTAAAAATATGACTTGGGTGCATGGGCTCTTGTAAGAAATACAGGTACATGATTCCTCAATTTAAGAATAACTATGACCTGTTAGTTACAAAAAACTTACTTTGGGTGATGGTTTTTCCAACCACTTTGCTTTGATCTTATATAATTCCATTATTGCTTGTATTTCCTGAAAAAAAGAAAAAGAGACAATTATATGATATGAATAAATTGTTTGAATAGAAAACTATGTTCGGACAAATGTTTCAAAAAATGCTATGTTTTCAGATACACAAATATGATGCTAAATACCAAAAAAGGATTCAACATGCATTGAGAAATGATAAAGCATACAAACTCTTGAATTTTATCAATTAAGTACCTCATCAATTCTCTATGGTTTTGGATCTAAAAAGTAGGCATTCATGTGAACCCTGGTTGGAGGTGAATTTTACAATCAAGGCTAAAAGTGGCAAAATGCTGGTCAGAAGAAGCGAATCCATTTCAATTCATATTGAGATCTGGTTTTACTTCATGTTGAAACATGTTTTTTATGTGAATCCTAGGATATACATGTCAATGCACTTCTTTATCCAGATTGTATTTAAGTAACCTATTTCCAGTTGTACCTATGCGTTGCGATGGTGTTCATATAAAGGTTTTCAATACACATCTCTTAATTCAGATTACCCAATACACATTCTACCTTGCGTTGAGACGCTCAAAGAAACAGAGCTACCGGTAGAGAAACCATTAAAATTTGTGTAGATAAAAATTGTGAGGCCCAGATCTTGCCTTACGTCAGTCTTGGACCCACTTTTAAACCACTGCTGTTTTCAAATTGAGGCATCTTCATTTTTCCGCTAAGTGGAGTAGATTTTATCGATTGATTATCGCGATTATATCATTGGCGATTTATTGCAATATTTTCGAATAAAAATTGCGATTTATGGCGATTAAATCGCTATGCATCGCAATTTTTTGTTCAATAAAATTGTGATCAATTTTCGTCAAAAAAATCGAGATTAAATCGCCATATGTCGCGATTTTTATTTAAAAAATATCGCGATAAATTATCAGGCGATAAAATTGCGATTTAGTCGCAATAAGATCGAAGATATACGCTCAGATGTTGATGATCCTAGTGATTTTATCGCTAATAAAATTGCAACATATCGCGATTTTTCCGTTGAAAATGCTACTTGGGAACTGAGACATAAGTAATACTCATTGAAGCATGCTTCAAAAACCCAGGATGTGTGCTTGGCCCCAAATACTTTTGTCAGATGAATGTTGTTGTGAAGTCAGCTCACTCATCTGGCGAAAAATCTATGAAGATAAATTTAAAATTTTATCATGGTCACACCTTGTGTAGCGACTGACGCATCCAACTTTCAACTTACTTTAGAGTAGATCTGTGACTGAGGAAGTTGATATTCACTTAGAGACTTTCCTCACAAAACTCTTCTACAGTTCTCATCAGAATTTGGAAACATATTGACATGAAGTAAGTATGTATCAATAAAATCGTCTAATCCATATATACTCACGGCAAGGCGAAAGTCCACATGTTCATTGGCAAACCACAACAAATAACGATTGAAAGTTTTCAGAGCATTCATTGTAGAAGAAAATTTTTCAGTCAGACAAGGAAGATTTGAAAATGAGGCAAAATAAGCACATAAAAAAGAAAAAACGTGTCAAGTAAACAAATGAGAAGCACTGACTTCTCAAGTGTCACATGGCCGACAAAGTTCTCAAAATATACGATGTTTGTGCCGAGAGATTGTTACAATCGAATGTGTAGAGAGTTCTGATATTTCTCAGATCAAAGCGAAAGCCCATAAAAGATCACATTTTGGGGTAAAACAGAAAAATTGTTCCCGGCTAGGTGATAACAGCAAGCAATGTGTGCAAGTATAAAAACAAACTGATAATGACCATAGAGAAAAAAAAGGAGGTGTTTGCATTTCGGGCATCTTGGAGTATTTTGATGACTTGATGACGTAGGTGGGTACAGCTGGGTACAGGGACGTCCCCTTCACACTGTACCCACCTACGTCATCAAGTCATCAAAAAATTCCAAGATGCCCGAAATGCAAACACCTCCTTTTTTTTCTCTATGGATAATGACTGTAGGCATTCGATATATCGTCGTACTATCGATTGTCATCGACAGAACAAAAGCCGCACAAAGTAGATCTGATTCTGATTGGCTCATTTTCAATATGAAACATTGACGTATAATACAATCTAGACCGCGCATTACGAAATTCAAACGAGACGATAGGCAACCCAGCAACACACAGTAAGTGTACCGGCGAGACAATGGTGGAATTCCTGGAAATGTCAGTCTTGCCAGTGCCGTTGCCTGATACGGGTACACTTAGCTCGTATATCCGGCGGTATCAACTAGGCTGAAGGCGCGTCTTTACCCCCCTAGCTGTCTTACCTTCCCCGCCTAAAGTCGGGCCCAATGCGCGGTCTAGATTGTATTATACGTCAATGATATGAAACTGAAGTTACCCAATCACGTGCTACATTCTGCGATATATTCAAGCGTGACGTAAGCCCGAAGTCCCGTGTTTACAAGTTTCGACCGTTACCGTTTCAGCATTTTCTTCAACAGACGGAGACGGTAAATCTTGGATTTTTCTTCATTATTCTATCACAGAATCACAAAGTTTCTTGAAGATTTTTTACATTGTCGCAGTAATTTTCTTTAGCAATTGTCAGTATCTTTATTCCAAGTCCAAGTTTACGATCATCAATGCAGGTTTTATGACAGTGAATGTTGGGTGAGTGTCTTTCACTGTTTTCCTACTTCACCAGATTTTCCGGATTTCTCTAATTTTCAGTCCTCCCCCAAGTTAGGTTTGTCTCCGTAGATCGCTTAGTAAACGCTTAGGATCAAACGTTCCCTCAACTTTCTTATGGAGTGTCCTAATTTCCTCGGGGAGCATCATAGTTAAAATGCAGTTAGAACATCACTCAGTCACCCGTCATTTCTGCTGAAGCCTGAAAATTAGTTGTTTTGTATAATTCATCCATTGAATGTTTACTTCTGATGCTGGCACGGAGCATTATAAATCCCAAGATTCTTGTCCAGCCTCTTTTTGGATTCTATTTACAACACAACTTTTTTGATCTCTGGCTTTTTTGGATCCAAACTTCATGATGAAATCTATTGTCTTCATTCTCATGGTTCTGTAGCAGATCTGCAGTCCGTACTCCCTTTGCACAGCCTGCCACAGACAAATAAATCAAAAATTATTTGAGTTTACACATACTCAATCTTTTCTTCTTGCATCATGGAAAAATCATACTCGCCTTAATTTAGGTTGCTACTACCCCCCACTAAGTACCTGGTTTTACACGCTGTCTTTTGACATGTACTCAGAACCACCACATGCTGTCAGTGTTGATGGGATGAGAGCACTGATGATCAACAATCTTACTACAGGAGCTATTGGATACTATTTAAAGCACAAGGCAACTTATCAAGTTTAGCTGTGTGGGGAATAAGAATGAAGTATCTAAGTAGAGTCCACGCCACATAAATTTTCGCATTTTTAGACTGCGTCATAAAATTGTTTGACATCATTTTTGCTTGAAAAGTAAATGCAAGAATCAAGATTGCAGATCCTGTGTTGCAGTCTTAAAGTGCGTTACTTAAATGGCGCATTTTGTAAGTAGGGAACAAAGTTTATTTCTTGCCCTAAAACCTGAATTTTACCACTGTCTGAAAACTTTGAGTTCGTTCCTCATTTTCACTCTCAGCCCAATCCTCTTTCAACATATCCACTAATGTACAGTCCAAGTTTTGAAGCCAGGTATATCTTCTTCTCGATTTACCTTAAGCTAATGAATTGTCTAAGAATGGAGATTTTAAATACGATAATCAAATCTACCAGTTGACAACCCTTGCTGCTTAATCTTTACATTTTTGAAGGTGGATTTTATTGCGGCAATACCGGCTACAAATTTTCCCCTGGCCAATTAGAAGAATTTTGTATTTATGTTTTAGGTGACTGAAAGCAAACATGGATACTACGGATGCCTTAGATTTATCCAAAGAAAATATCCAACCTCTGAAACAAGGACGCAAAGCAGTTCAGCTAGGAACAGCCTTGCAAGCTCAAACCAACCAGGAGCTTCAGCAAAAATTAGCAGCAGAAAGAGAGTATGAGCTCAAATTTGATTATTTTTCATTCCAAAATTCTCTGTCATATTCGATAGACAAATATGAAAATTAATTAAGTATTCATTCCTAAAATCAGTTGTCATCCGGGTAGAAAAAAAAAGGAATTCCAGTTCAGATGCTTTGAAAATTTTTCAGTGATCCCAGAAGAGCTTTCCAGATTTGCTAGTATGCCATTCAAATAAAATTCAAACATTTGCTCTGTCAATCATCTATGATTCCAAGTTTTTGATTAAAGCACTTCCTGCGTTCCCAATGTGTTGGCCTCCTGTGTTATAGTGGTTCTAGCACTGGCTCTAAAACCAGGAGGTCCTGAGTTCAATTCTCGGCTAGGCAATTCAAGTTTAATGGTCCCCAATGATGGTTGCCTCAGGCTGATCGCACAGTAAGGGCTGAGGGGAATGGGGCACCAACTGAACGTGCAAGATTATCACTTGTGTAGTAATTGAAATGAGATAGTTAATAGAAAAAGAAAGGAACCTGTCAAAATTGTGCATTCATTATGTTGAACGAAGGTACACAAGTAAATATGTTTTGCTAGGATAAAATTTTGATTTCCAAGCCAATGGCAAAAAATGCTGCTCAATGAACAAAATTTTAAACTGAGAAATCTAAGTGAACATGGTCTCATACCAAAGAAAAAAATATCTTGTTACTACTTACAACTGATTATTACTATGCTACCCAAAGACATTTTTTAGACTATCTCTAAAACAAAAATGAGAACATCCATACTATGAATAAAGCATAATTAAGGTGGAAAACAATTATAATATTTTGCCCTTTTTGTCTCTTATCAGGCAGTATGAGTTATTGATTCGAATGTATGAAGGAGATGACCCTCTTGGACCCCGCTATGAGTATGTGTCGTGGATTGAACAAAGTTATCCAAAACATGGACCTGAAAGTAATTTGATTCCTCTCTTAGAAGATACCTTAACTAGATTCAAGGATGATGAAAAGTACAAACAAGATCCAAGATTTGTTCAACTCATGATTAAATATGTAAGTCAGTGTTTCATAATTTTCAGTAGGGAGTATTTTTAATATTTTGCCTGTAAATATCAGCGCAAAATTGTAGAAGCCCCTATGATGATTCTTTTCCCACTTACAGAGGTCATTAGTTTTCCGTAACAACAAGTACAAGTGCTCCAGCAAAAATTATAGAATGTTATGTTACCTTTGTAGTTGTGCTGAAGCCTTCAATAAAATACTTATAAAGAAAGCTATAAATTTTCCCAAATCCAGGGTGCCTATAAGTCTGGAAAGTCCGGATATATTACTAATTCTGTAAGGGCAGTCTGGAAGTACTGAAAAAGTGCAGAATTTGAGAGAAGGTCCAGAATTTTTGTCGCAATTTGAGCAAAAAATTCAAATTTTTGAAAATTTTCGAATCACGTCAATTGGAGGTACTGAAAAAGTACTGAATTTCTCCTATGAGGAGGTACTGAATTTCTTGGGAATGTACTGCAAAAGTACTGACTTTTGGCCAGCCTGTTTTAGGAGACACCCTGAAGTCAGAAGGCTTTTTGAAACTTCATAATTATAAATCATAACAGATCGTACATCAGTCTAGTAAATGATTTAATTTTATACAAAAATTTATTATAATTTAATGTGAGAATCCAAAAGTAACAAGACCTAAGTATGCCTCTATTTTTCAGGGCTTTCATGTCAAAAAATTTCCTGTCAGAAGGTTAAACCAGGAGCCTTAGTTAGAGCTTCTTCATTAAATTTTAGTCCTCCAAGACTTCCTCTTTATGTTTGCTCTCAGGGAACACTCCCTCCCTTTCCCAACCTTTCATTTTTAGTAATGGATCAAATGAGAATATGAGGATACATCCAATGATATCTGCATAGTGGAAAACACTTCTATTTCGGCTTGTTTCGCACGCCGTGAACTGCTGCCGCCTGGCGGCCTCCCGTGCAATTTACTTTCTTAATCATCGGTGATCAGTTTTCTCTCGTTTTTCGATGTTTGTTGCATAACGTACCTTGTCGTTTATTCTGTTATCACTGCAGTCTCATTTCAATACCAAGTTCACCATGTAACGCCGTTTGCTGGTTTTTATTTTAATTTCTTTTTTATTTTTAATTCTATTTTAGCAGTTGATAATGGTGCTGTAAGGTATCGAAACGTCCTGCCTTTGTATTTTGTATTTTAGTCTTGTTTCCGCATTTTCCTGTGTTTTCAATTGATATCTGCATATCTACATTCTTACTGTGTGTCTTAAATTTTACTGTGTGATTTTTTTCTCAGATTGATTCTCTACCGAACCCTCTTGAGATATACCAGCTAGTCTACAGTGAAGGTCTTGGAACCAAATGTGCTCTCCTCTATAAATCTTGGGCTGATGAATTAGACAAGAACCAAGATTTCAAACGTGCCAATCAAATCTACCAGTTAGGATTAAAAAATCAAGCTGAACCATTCGATGATTTACAACAAGCTCAAATGTAAGCATTCCATGTATTTATTGCAAAGAGCTATGTTTAAGTTTTTCGCCCTGTTTGTTTTTGTGTTGGTTTAATTCTAGGAACAAATTTTCAGAGGGGTAGGAAGTTTCTAGTTAATTAACAAGCTAACCATTAATTAACGTGAGGATAATTCATCCTCAGTATCACATGAAGTTCCTCCTCCTCTGCAAAATAAAATCCAGGTATTAAGACTGACTCTTGGTTAATATCAGAGAAATCTGTCACTTCTATTGAGGTCCCCAAATCTTGAATTGTTTTGTGTTGCGTTCACTACACTCTTTAAAAGCATCAACTAGTGTATATAAATAAATTTTCTGTGTTCCTCTTTCGAGACATACAAAATAGGGGTTGAAAAGTGAATTGTTCAGCATTTTTACATGTGTTATGTATTAAGTAGTAATGTTGCAACGTCTGACTGGTGATTGTAGGAAGCTTTTGTTTCCTCGATAGCGAGGAAGCTAAAACAGATGAAAATAATCTAATTTCTCCAAAGGATTACAGAGTGCGGCATAGCTTCCACACAATAGTGACAGTGTTACATTTCCACTCAGAAAGCATGTTAGAATGCCAAAAAATTCACTTATTAACCCTGATTTTCCTGATATTGGGAGGAAGGAAGTTTGATTTTCAAAAGTGCATCGTGCTCAGGAGGTCATAAAGAACATCATATCAGATAATGACGGCACTTAGCCGATTCTCATGTTTTCCATGTAGGATCCTCTTTTTGTTGCAAGTAAGCTATTTACATAGTTTTCTTTAAATGTATTCTGGTTAAAATGAAAGCTGAAGCCATTCTGACTGGCAGCTTACATTCTCAGGTGCTAGCCGTTACTCAGACTTCACTAAAGCTCAGTACATTTACTCAGCTGCAAAGGTAATTCAGACATTGGCACCAACCATCATTTGATGCCTAGGTATATAAGATGGTCGCAGTAAAATTCTGCCTTTTCCCCTTGCTTGCCTGGAGACTTCTATCTAAAATTTATGACCTTTCCATTAATATTCCATGATAAGTCTCGTCAAAAAATCAGTGATCAAATAAATGTCGTATCTCACATTAATTGAAAAATAAAAATTTCAGACAATTCCAGTTGAGTGTCGGTCGTCGTATGTTGGGTGGAGGAGTCAATGCTCAAGAGGACCAGCCAGCTGCAGATCACTCCAGACAAGCCCTGTCAAAGTTAAAGAAAACAGTCGGAAGTACCCGAGTGAGCCGAGTTCAGCCAGGGACTGTCATGATGAATCCCCTTGCACAAACTCAAAAACTTAATGTCAAATCGGGAGGAATCCAAGTTTATACCGTTAGTAAATTTTCTATCGCACTGCAAATCTCTCACACAGCCGACTTTTAGTGAGAGTAGAGGAAAAGTTAGTGCTCCTCTGCACTTTTCTGGCTGGTATTTTAATCTAATTTGCTTTACTGTGCTCTATTTTCCCAGTTAGAAATTTAAGGGTGTCACACTAAGTAACATCATCAAATAACATGAGTAAAATGGCAGCCAAATCTTAATTGACCATCACCTCCTGTAATCACAATACACTAAAATTGGTTTAAAACTTTCTTAATATCAGTTTTGTGCACAGTGTAATGTAGACTCACTAATTGAGATAATCTAGAAATGATATTTTAAAGTATCACTCCCGTTGTGAATCATCACCTCAGTGAAAGCCCAAAAACGATACAATGCTGACATGATTTTTCTTCAAAATTTTACTGCTCATTTTCAGGATGAAAATTGTGATCCTTTAAGTGGTCTTAAGAAAATGAACAAGGTTGATCATGATTTACCAAAAAGTGCAACTATCAACAAGGAAAACAAATTAGCAGCAGGCCCTTGGAACAAGCAAGGATATGGTATGAAAAAACACGTTCCAAAAGCTCCATCCACACCATCTTTTCAAGGTAACCAAAGACTGAGTACCAATCTGTCCTTAACTTCGCAGAGGATAAGTTTTTTCTTTTTTTGGCAATAAGTTCTCAAAAATAAAAAAATAGGGAAATTGTAGGGAAGGAATGTTTTTTTATTAACAAAATAATTTACGGTGCTGATAATGTATTGCACCGCCTGCAATCATCCGAAGTTTCGCTGTTTCATCCTAATGAAAGAGTTCTTTGGTCATTCATATATCACTTCCCTTATTTATAACTCATCATCTTACTCTTGATTTTTTCCTTTCATTATTCAAGTTCATCAAGATCCTGAAGCCTTGATTCCAAACCGAGAAATGATGTCACAAGTCCCAGGCGCATTGAAAACACGCAAAGCAGAAACATTCTCTTGTCCAATTGCTATTTTCGAGCCACCAGATCCAACCAAGAAACCCATGTATTGCAAAGATAAGGTACGGAAACTCTGTTAACCTCATTAAAACTTAAATCACTACTGAACAAAGTAGTTCCTAATGTGTAAGGGAAGTTTTGTTTAATGTTGATCTCTGTACTAATATTTAAGGTCATGCCTGTAAAGTGGAGGATGTCAACCTTCATACTCAACTTTGATTGCTATGATGTGACTCATGATACTAAGACACTGGTCTTGATATTTTTTTAGAAATCCAAGCATTGTTTAAAAAAGAATTATGTAGTCTTGAGTAATGATGACCTGAAAAGTCTTTATACCTAAATGAGACCCGTTTTATATTGATTCTTTGTTATCAAGAACATTTCGAAGTCTTTCTCTGTTCAGTTTAAACTGCCTTATTTTATCTTTCAAATTTGATATTATTCGCAGATTTATGCCGGCACTAAAGAGGTCCAGTTTGAGGAAATAAGAGCTGCCCTGTATATGAAACGTAAGTATCCTTTTTTCTCGTGTCATATTCTCAGGTTGTTTTTTTTTTTTCTTCTGATTCTCAAATAGGCAGATTTAACCTGAATGAGCCTAACTACGTCAGATGTGGCCTAATTTTCTGTGATATTTCAATTTTTAGACAAAGAACTAAGTAACACTGGAACATGGAATTTTATGACAATATTCTTCATAATCCAGAATAAATTCATAGAAAGCTTAAAAGCGTCAAGTAGTTGAGTTCTAAGTTTAAAATACTTCCTCTACCTTAAGAGAGTGAGAAAGTAAAAATGAAGCATAAGAATAAAATTAGGTTAAGTGAAATGCAGTCAGGTTGGCTCCAGTAAAATCTGTCCTAATTATAGACGTTTTCTTGTATACCTTTATCCTAACTCGAGGTCATCATATACGTCAAATGCATTCATGTTTCTAATTATCATCGTATGTTCTGCACATCTGTTGAAACATTAAATAGGGTGTTATCGGAACCTGGCTACTTTTAATTTGTCTTGTATATGTAGAGCCTTGATTCACTGTTTCCCGAAGTAGGTACCAAATTTCGAAAAATGTTGAAATTTGTCAAATTTCAGGGCTCCTCAATGGCAGAGACAGCAATTTTGTTAATCCCGAAATTTTAGAAACTAAATGGGCAGCACTGTAGAGTTCATCAGTGACAAATTATGTTAGTGCTGTAAAGATAAAGATGGCACAAAGAGCATACTGTTGCAATGTATCGTATGTATCACAACAAAAGGAAAGTAAAGAATCGCATTAATGAAAGCAGTGTGTTTTCTACCTCAACTTTCAATTGCAATTATCAGCAGACAAAATGTAATTTTTTTTTTTTTTTTCCTGCCATTAAGGTTCAATTTAAAAGATCTGTGCATATTTCTGCTAGAATTTATAATTTTAGATCAATAAATTTCACCATCCAATAAATTTGTTTGGGCCCTCCAAAATCTGATAAATGAATAGCTTAGTTTTGATCATGTGCAGGATACGCCTGTCAGGAATTCAATGAATAAATGAAAACCATATTTTAACATTTTTTTCAGGGAGGATAGAAATGCAAGCATTAGAAGCTCGCAGTTTCAATTCCACCAATGGCAATTCCTTTGGAAGTTCTTTCGCGGCTGACAATACTCATGACAGTGAAAAATGTAGTTTCAGAGAAGGGTTTAATTGCAGTGGACCAAAAATTTCCGATAACAATGAGAGAGGAAACATGAGTAATGAGTTCAAAGGACCTGGAGTTTACATGGATAAACCGAAATTGAAAGCTAATGAAAATAAAGATCCTGCTAATAGAGTGAGTGATTTTTAATTTTTTTAACTTAGCTTATAATTTTATATGAGTACACAAAAGAGCTTGAGTTTTCCAAGATTCTATTCCTTGTCATAGTTATGATGTACAGATGAAGTGTCATCAGTCCGAACCAATAATACTTGCTGAAGTGTGAGTAATAGAGACACTGGCATTGAAATAATTTCTTTAATGACTTTTCCATGTTCCTTGATAAACAATGATTCATAAGAGAAGGTTTGCCAAATATTTGTTCAGTTAATATTTCTTTTTATCCATGCGCTGTACTTTAAATTCATTAACTTTTTCTTAAACAGTTTTTGAATACATGCAAGTGACGGCATTTGAAGGCATTTATGCAAAAAAAATCTATCTACTTAAGTTCAGAATCAAATCTAATCAACCTGTTTGTAGCAGTGCCTGTTTGTATTATGCATATTCAAGAATCGAGTGATTTTTACTTGCAGTTTGGGGGAGGTAAAATGTTCCCTCCGGATATTTCCATCAACCATCAGTCCTTTACCATAAACACAAGAGAAGCCATGAATGTTGTAGCAGAAATGTGGAAGAGTCCTGCAACATCTAGTGAGTATTTTTTTTTCCATGTGTCTATCAAATATCTTTCTTTAGACTTCGTATTATGTATGAGTTGGTTTGTTGGGATGCATTCTTTAACCAAAAAATCAGGTAAGCTGAAAACGCCAAATCTTCGATTGCTGGCGATGTTTAGACTGGTAGAAGAAGCGTCAGTCTTATTTCATGATTTTTTAAGATATAATATAGTTTCGAATGTTTTTTTCAATTTTTGAGCAGCTAGGTTGATGGAATGTAGAGGCTTCCTCTAGAGATTCCATGAAAATTTTAAGAAAAACATTCAAAAGAAAAATAAATGTCCACTTCATTACAATGGCACACCTTGATGAATTTTCAAAAAGATCAAGAATGTTAATGGTTAAATGAGATAGTACCATTGAATAATAATGAAATATTGTGAATGACAGGTCAAAAATCTTTTCGTGAAGTGAATAATCCTGTTTAATCATGCACATGAATTTTACCAATGTGTTTACCGGAAACAAAAAGAGGGAAAAACTGTGATCCTCATTTTTTGTCCATATCAAAGCTTTGCTTAGCATGTTATTGAGTGAAAAATGTCTTTATTGGGTGTAATCTTGAAAACTTTGCCTATCAAAACTTTCATTTACAGAGCCAAAATTTCCTGAGCCCAAACCAGCACCAGCCAGCATTGAGGTCTACACAGATGACGATGATTTTAAAGTCCCCGCTCCAGTTAAACCAACAAAACCAGCATTTTCTTTGTATGTTGATGAAGAAGAGGAACCCGTAAATAAAGCAGGTGGTTCAAAAGATGCTGGCCTTCAGTTCACCGTTTTCACAGATGAGCCTGCACCTGCTCCAGAGCCAAAAGAACCGTTGAAGCTTCCTTATATCCCTTCACCTCACACTCAAGATCCTCTGCAAGAGGCTGATGGAAAAGAGAACAACTCGCCTGTAGATTATACCGTTTCCACTGAAAAGAGGCGACTGTCAGGAACACTAGTGCCTGCTGCTGATATTCCTGTCATGGAAGAAAACAATGATAATGAAGAGGAAAATGATAACGACCAGGTTTGTTTTCTGTCTGGAAGACCCCAGTTGGTCTTCAATTTACATTTGATTTACATTTACAATAGCAAAATTCGAATCAAGTACACTTGTTTTTCGTGCAAGTGGGAAATTCTAATTTTTTATAACCAATGCTGAATGAAACTGTTAATATCTTTGTTAGCAGTAAATTTCAGTTATATTCATTGGGCAAATCAGAGAATTTTGAAGAGGAGATCTGGTGGCAGGGCACTGATGATGAAATTTTACTATATCAGTTGCCCAATAACCTATGGAAAGATAGGCACATGTTGCATGGGGGTGTCACAGAGAGCCAGAATGCACTATAGGAGTGTCGTATATGTATAGAAACATTAATCAGAATGCTTAACCTTTTTCATAGGTACCTTGTCTTGTGGTCCACCCTGTGACTTATATTAGTTATGCTCTCATAGTTAGCTAGTTAGTTACCCATTTAGTTATTTTTAGTGTATTTTCCGAAGAAAATACACTATTGCATTCTCCCATGATGTCGGACCCAGACCCGAGACCTTGTGAAGAGCACCGATCACGGGTCGTAGATCACGAAAATATATGCCATTCAAATTCATGTGTATATATATATGTATGTATGTATTTCCGCCTTTTTAAGATTTTTCGATTTTTTAGTAGTTATATCTTTCTTACGTTGAAAGATATTTTGACCAATTTTTTTGCATTTAGTAGAGACTCATTAGAACTACTATTCTGTGAAAAAAAATTGAAATTTGAGGCAATAGATTTTTGAGGGGTGGGGCTCGAAAGTGGGGGGAGGTTAAATCTTGTCCACTCGATAACTCGAGCGAAAATAAATATTTTGAGCTGAAATTTTTATGGGTGGTAGTTCTCCTCTAGGACTGGTTTGGTATTGAATTTGAGCTAAATCGGCTGAGCCGTTTAATTTTTTTTGTGCCCTGAATTTGCAACTGAACTTTTTGGTGCTTTCAAAATATGCTGCTCCAATATTATTGGTATTCTGCTGTCTTCTCAAACATCTCATCCAGGGCCTTGTTTTTTTTCCAGTTTTTGGACCGCACCAACATGACATGTAATATGACCTGCAATACCAAAGCTTTTTGTTTTGAGCTACCCTCCTCAACGCCAATGACCTCAAATTTCAAGCCGAGGACGCCTCATTCAAGTCAAGCAATTAATGGGTAAGTTCAAGATTTTGAAATGCTTTGAGAAAACTGTAATTTTACAGCACTATCTTTCCAATTCCTGAAACCAATTTATCAGCAGGGCTTTAGAAAGAAACCTCCCATCCCAAACCACACCTCTTTCTTGTAAGTAATTCAATGCCTCTAAATTTTGTCATTATATACAAATTTGACATTTTTTCCGCCATCCTCTATTTTTTGATGATTACTCTGTATCAGTAAGACAAGTGATTGCTGACCAATAATCTTTATCCCATCTAATGTGGCCATATTATACATTATGGAAAGAATCCACCGAAATATTCTTGAGCGGGTAAGCAAAAAGACATTTGATCACTTGCCTGCGGAGCACTTGAAACATGAAAAGGCCCTTGAATGAGGAAGGGTTGAGAAATTTCTAAGAATCGAAAGTTTTCCTCATTTTGTCTAGTCAGTTGCTGTTACAAGTAATACTAGAGCTTTGAGAAATGTATCAACAGGTCAGTAGGTTAAAAGCCTTGAGAAGCTGTAAACAAGAAGCGTTTGAACGAATTTTGTGGAAGGCAGCAAAATGGCCTCGGAAAATAGTGACCTACGGCCACAAAACCCATCCATAAAAGGCGTTAAACGGTTTTAATTTAATCACTTTTTGCATTTGAGTCTAAGTTTGGCATTTTTTAAAATTGCTGAGTTTTTCATTTTTGGATTAATAACCAATAAAATCTGCCTAGAAATTTTACTGAATTTGGTTGGTCGTCAGATAAAAGTTCTCCACTTTTCCCTAAGAAGTTTGCTTAGTTGTCCATCCATACCAAGTCAAATATGCCTAGGCAATTTTGAGACGTTAAATGCTAAAAACTGACTCTAAAAGTAAACAGCCACATTGTAGCATGGTTTAGTCGAATACTAAATTTATTATGTATTACAACACAACATAGTCAAACGAAAAAATCTAATCAATTAGCCACTTAGGTGTAAATTTATGCATTTACGAATTTTCTATCGTCACTTTTTTTTGCAGCTCATATTTAGGAGATTTCAACTATCCCACAACTGAACAGAAAAAAGCTATGGAGAATGATAATCTAAGTATGATACTAGAAGCATCAAAAGAGCGCTATAGCAGTTCCTCAGGAAGCTCTGCCAGCTCTGGAATCCGTACTTTATCTTCCATGTACAGCTGTGAACGTAGAAGTCTTATGACCATCAGAGAGCGGGAAAGTAAATCAGCATTCGGTAAGTTAAAGTGATCAAAGAGAAAACAAAAATGCCTCAAAGGTAAACTGATACGCTCGGATAAATTATTAAACCCTACAAACCGATCGCAAGTAGCTGAATGTCTCAGTGAATGTTCTAGGAGTCTTTGCATAATCCAAAGAAAGGCATGAGTGACAGTGGCGTGGTGTGAATGATCGATTATCGATATCTCGCCATTTAAAGCTATGGTAAAGAATCGATTACTAAGGTGTTCGCTGCGAACGCCCTGATAATCGATCTTTTTTCATAGTTTTGAGTGGTATATCAATCGATATATCGCAAAGCACGCCACGCCTCTGATGAGTGACTTTTAACTTAAACAGCTCCGTGGATCAAAATTCTGCTAAACTTGAGTTATTTGCTCTCTGCTTGTATCTTATTACCAGAGTCAAAATAATAATTTGAATGTACCCTTTGAATGTTGTAATGTGCTATGATTGTTTTATTAAATTAGCTGTATGATCTATAATTTTAAGATGAATCTGAGATTCTTTTGATTTGTATCAAACTTGCCAGGTTTGTGGTGTTTCATTCTTGTCTTTGACGCAAGTTTTAGTAGGACGCCTAAAAAAAGTGGGATTCTCAGAAAGTAGAAACATGTTGCAATTGTGTATTTAAAAGTTTGAGATCGAAACATCCTAATAAAAGTTCATATAAAGTTATATTTCTCTCAGATATCGAAACTTGATCATATGCTACCTATTTCATTATTCCTGCAAACGTCCACTCCTGTTGATTCTGATTTCTGAAAATAACCCGTGTAGAACTCAAAATTAGACAAAATAGCCAAGCATTGCAACATATTTTTATACCTAAAAGTAATTCTTAAATTTTCTGTCAAAAAAACCATCCTTCAAGTTCAATGGGTACTGCCTAAACGCTGCTAAAACTTAAAATTATCTGCTATACAGTAATTTTTTTAACATATGCATACCTCCACACAATATAACAACCTCAGATTAACTTTTATTGTTCTCTAAAATAATTTCTCACTGGAATTTCTAACATTTTTATCCAATATGACTCTTGTTCCAGGAAAAGAAATGCTTGAAGAAGAAGATGTTAAAGACCTTCAAGAAAGTATAAAGTACCTCGAAATAAGTTTACCAGATGATATTAATCCATTCTCTGAAGAGTTAATCGAAAAACTACTAGCTAAAAAAATACATTTCCCAAGGCGGCATCATGAAATTGGATTGTGTCGAATTGAAGGAGCAGTTCCTGTTCTGAAGCAGTCCTCAACTATCACACTAGGTAATACTGTTTTGTATGATAAATGTAAAACAATCTTTGTTAAAAGGTATTCTTTGTACGTATTAAATTTGGACGTGTATGAGACCCGAGGAATATATGATTTGGAATGGGATTTATTGTACCTTAAAATCTGAACTGGCAGACTGTTTTGCCGCTCCGAGCAGGTTCTGAATGGTGCTGCCAGTGATTGCGAAAGATACTGTTGTTTGGGAATATACTCAGTTTAGCCCTTGTATCTGTTGGACAGCGCATGAAGCCACAGACTAAAGATTTCAAACATCTTATTTACATTCTGACCATTTTTATTCAATTAAGTTCCTGGGTCTCATTTCTTCTAATTCATTCGAAAATTAGAAATAGAAACTTGGCATCAAATATATTTTTCGAGCATAGAAAATTGTTAATTTTCTGATCATCGCCAAAACATGTTCCATCAGCATTTACTTGTCACTTGCTCTTAGAACTACCTACTTCTCCGGTGAAAAAGTCAATCTGTTTGTTGATGCAGCAAGACACAGTTTGACCAATCAAACAGATCTGTTCCTCTTTTACCTTCTTTTGAAACTGTACACTCGTTTTTGCCTTGGCATATTGGAAATTAAACAATCGCCGTAGCAACATCCAACAGTTCAGAGCGCATCGTCCCAAAAACAAAAGTAATATCTTGACCTAGGGTCGTACCAAAAAAAGCCACTTTTTCTCCAGGCAACTTATTCCTCAGGCAAATGTGTCGAAAAACTAAATGAAGGGGGCCATCGCCTCCTCCCCTTTCTCACCCCAGTTTGCCAGAAAAGTAGATTTGTGAACAGAGGTGGCAGGAAAAAAAATCGGAAAAAAGAACCATTAAGGTGAAAAACCTGGAGCTCCCCCTCTAATGTAAACTTGTCTAAAAAGTTGACGAACAAACCTCAGAATTGCAGCACCTAAAAATGAAGGTGTGAATTTATCTTTAAAAAAAATGTTTGTCAACTATGTTAATATGCCTTTTTGACTAATCTTAATATTGACTGGCTTAATTTTTTTCAGATGATGAAACTTACTCCATTATCGGAGAAATTGGAAAAGGCTCTTACGCAAGAGTAGTAAAAGCCACTTACGGCCGACAAAATGTTGCGTTGAAAGTTCAGAAACCTGCATGTCCATGGGAATGGTATATTTGTAAAGAGATCCAACACCGGCTGAACAGTAAAAATATAGTATGTATTACTGTGATTTTCCAAAATTCATTAATCTTCCCTCGAATAATATAAGCAATCATTCAAGTCAAGAATAGCTGTCAATCCATTTTTAAATTTTTCTCTGTTCCTCCTCCATCTATGAATGACATACTGCCTGTCAGAAACTTCCTCTGCCCTTCTCCTAGATTTTGGGTAGTTACTGAGGGGCTTTGATCCCTCATGATGGTGACTGTAAGTGTCACCCCTAGCCATGAAAGTCATGAAGTGTGAGGCGCGGCAAGCTCTTAAGTCATAAAGGTGCTGCATTTTACTTTAATTCTCTATGTTCGTATTTTGAAGGAGCCACCCTCATAGCAGATTGCTCTAATATATTTTTATTAGTAAATATTGTTTCAATATGTATTTAATAAATCGCTGAACAGGAAGCAGTATTACCATTAACAGTTTTTCAGTGCTATGGAGAAACACTGTATCGATATTCAAATTTTGCAATTTTTGGTTTTATGCTTTTGTTTTCAAAGACAATTTATAATTTCATATAATGCCTGAAAGAAGATGCACTGCATTTGGTTGCAAATAGAGTCCTTCCAAAAGAATGACAAATATTCTCACATTTTTCAGAATATTTCCATTTTTATTTGTAAATAGTTGGTAAAATTTAAAACTCCATGTACAGAAGGTTTTGCCTTAGTATGTGTAAAAAATTGGTGAGAAAAAGTTTATTCTAGCACAATTTTTTCTGACAGAAAAGCAGGAATTTAATAATCCTCTTATTTCAAATACATACCGCCTTCTCTTTAAAATTTCATCATGTTAACCATTTTTTGCTCTAGATGTACTAATTGCCTTGATATAGCAAAAAATATGCGATCTTAATCGCAGTTCTGCAATGAACCCACAATGGTCATCTTGCTTTTGCGGCAAATATAAAATTTTGAAGCTACTACATTCAGAATTCGTATTTTCAAAACCTATTTTAAGGTCCTTCCCATTTTTGCAAGTGATCAATCAAGAGCTGCCAGTCACGTGGTGCCAGCTCTGCGCCCGTGTCTGTTAATATAAGGACAAAATGCAACGTTTTTCTGAAGTATGGCAGAATAGAACTTTGATGAAAATTATCTTTTCAGTTTCCAAGGTCAAAGAGTAAGACAACCTAATGAATCATCAAAGTCCTCTAATGACACTTTAAATCTTCTGATTTAATTTATCAATTCATAGTTTGTCTTCTTATTTTTCCCCTCAGCTCTAATAATTTATCTCCTGTCCTTTCTAGGCAAAAGGCTTCATGAATCCAGATACTGCATTCTTTTTCAATAATGGCAGCATTTTAGTCTCTGAATGGGCGCAGTATGGCAGTTTGTTGAATATTGTGAATGTGAACAAAGTAGTCACTGTAAGTATTTGTCTAAAATTACATTCATGCTATCAATTTTCAATAAGATACTACATGGAGCACAAGGAAAAATATGTAATGAATGACAAAATAACCAGAAACGAAATGTATCAGTTTAGATGGCCACTTCACCGCAATCAGTTTCAGAAAACACAAAAGCAAAAAAATATGACTGCCATTAAGGTACCCGGTGGCCATGAACTATTGCTTGAATGTAGGAATAACGAAAATAATCAATCTCCCAATCTTAGATCAGGTTATCTGAGCTTTTCTTTTGTCATACGTATTTCACTGCCTTCATTTTCTTTGAAATTCAAGATGGATATGAAATGAGCTGCGAAACTTTGTAAAATATAGTGTTAAATCATCTGTAAATGCACTTCCATATAGTAAAAGTTTCTTAATTGGTTTCTGTGTCCAATGAAATTGACCAACGTTGATCGACTTGGTTTTTAAAGCTCAAGCAAATCACTTATCAAAAGAGAGCGTCCAATGAGGCTTCTCTCACTAATAATATTGCTGTTACATTAAGTTTCAAATGGACGTATTTCTACCAAACAGACCTATGTGGAGGTGAGGAATATGGGGTGTGCTCGTTAGTTCTCTTCGCGTAAGAGTGAATGAGAATAATAAAGCGCCAGTGACGTCAGCGACAACGAAGGAGCTCCGGAACGACGGGAGGGTCGTTGGCGGGACTCTTTAACTCATGAGCCCTGTCCACAACGCTCTCTTGCCATGCCTGCGGCTAATGAGTTCTGCATTCAGTTGGCACGTAGGTCTGTTTGATAGAATGTAAAATCCCGCTTTTCCAATTCTTCAAAAGGAATCACGCCCACTTTTACATCGCTTCTTATGCAGCTTTCTAGAGCACACCCCATGTTTCTCACCTCCACATAGGTCTGTTTGGTAGAAATACGTCCAAATTTGAAATGCCTCCAGGTTCAGTTTATCAGTTTTCCTTCGAATTTTTAAAAATTTTAACATTCAGTGCTCTGTTAGGCCATATTTTTATAAATATTAAACATCAATTTTTCTCAAACGCAGGAAAAACTTCAACACCCAATAATCTGGCACATGGGCTGAAAAAATAAATGGACTTGAATGAAAGGAAAGTGATCATTTAAGAAATGAAGGATAAAAATAGAATCGTAAAAAAAAGATTACTCTCAGTCATATCTGTTTGCCAGGCATCAGTCTCATCGAGTCCAAAAAGTAACTTCATTTTGCATAATTATTTTTGTGAAGAATAATCTGAGCTAAGTAATTATCTCTGATTCAGTGTTTAAGAATATAACAACACAATGACAGAATGCGCTTTCTTTTGTTCTATTTCTTATTCTTCCTGTTTTTACTACAGGCCACTGTCCTCTTTGAAACCAAACTTCGTTAAAAATAAATCCGAACATGTCTGGTAATTACAGTATTCATTTTTCAGAACAAAATGTTACCTCTGGGTGTTGTTCTCCACCTTACTATCCAAATCTTGGACATAATCGATCACTTACACAGCTGCAAGATAATTCATGGTGACGTGAAGCCCGACAACTTTGTTCTACGCTCTGGTTTGTCGCAGTCGTTTGAGGAGCCCTCCATTCAGCTTATTGACTTTGGCCGTAGCATCGACATGACTCTGCTCCCTGAAGGCACCACTTTCTCCACTGTCGTGGAAACTGATGGTTTTACCTGCAATGAAATGAAAGACGGCAAACGTTGGACTTACCAGACGGATTACTTTGGTATAGCAGGAACGGTTTACTTGCTCATCATGGCAAAATACATGCAAACTGTTAAGATTAACGGGGTGTGGAATCTCTCCAGCGCTTTTCCAAGATACTCACGACGGGATATCTGGGAGCCTGTTTTTTACAAGTTATTGAATGTGGAGTCATGCTCTGATTTACCGAAGTTAAGAGATATTATCAATGACCTCACGAAATACTTCCATGAGACTGACTCGTATCTTCTAAGAACTCAGTTTTCACACTTGATGAATGTCCTGAAAAAACAGTAATATTTTTATGTTTTCTCATCACTCTCAGGAAACTCGGTGATCATCACAACTTAATCCCGGTTGAAATCCAGGTACCTTATGCTAAACGCCAGTATTTTTTTGTATACCTTTTGAATCAATTTTTGCCATTTTATTTTCTGAGTTATTAAATTATACATTGTAAAACTTGACTGTGAATATAGTTTTTAAGGCAATTTTATTGCGTACTTTTAATGATAGTTCATCATACTTATACATTGACTGGTTTTTACTCTCATCTCTCTCAGTTCTATTCTTATGTAATATTATCTAGTAAATATGATCAGGACTGTTACAAAGAATGAAAACAGCATTGAATTGATCAGTAAATCTGTAGAATACTCTTACCTGTCATTCCAATTAGCTTTACCAGACTAAAAATGATTCATGTAAAATCTTTAATTTGTTTGAAAGACTGCCTCCCTCTTTTGAGTGACAAAATAATTCAGCCTTTTTTTATGGTGATTTATCCTGTGTGCAAAGGACTTCCGATCTTATCTCAATTAGAAAAGCACCCGGTAATTTTTTAGATTTTGTTAAATAATGCTCTCTACAATGTATGTACTACTAGCAAAATTTTCCATCACATTTTTCTGATGATAACTAACCTTGCAACAAGATGGAGGTCAATCTTTTTATCTTTCCAGCATATTTTATTGATTCTGAGGCTGGTAATTATTCCTTTCATTGCTATTCTCTCTTCAAGCATGTGTTTATTATTGTATATTATTGTATGAGGTTACAAAGATGCCAACAACATAAGCAAATTTTTCTGAAGGAGTAACAAGAAAGTGGAGGAAAAATCATGATCCTAATCTGTCTTAAAAAAAATTACTATTTAGAATTTCTAGCCTTACATCTAATTTGTACTTAATTTTGTCGTGCATTGAATAAAATTCAACCAATTATTTTAACTATGAAGCGATTAGTCGTACACAGCTGGACTAGTAAGATGGTAGACAAGGTGTTACCACACTTTGTTTGTTGCACAGTAAAAATTTTCACAAAATTTACTTTTATCTCTATCAATCGTTGAAGTGATTCCCCTGAGGTTAGACAGTGGACAGATTTGTCTTAAATATCCCCCTCTTACAATAAAAAAAATTTTGGCTAACTTCAAATTTTGTTCCAGAGAAGGACAATGGGTCCTAAATCCAATTTTTAAAATTTTACACACCTTGCACATTTTAACCACCCCCTCCCTCCAGATTAATCATGGACTGAACAAACTTGAGCAAAATATGCTGTTGACTTCGTTGTGGTGTCAATAGTTTTAACTGCATTTAGAACTCTTTGAATTCTTAGAGGAACTTTCTAAAATACTCCTTTTGAAATACTCGTAATTATACTTAATTTTTTTTACTCTCTTAGCCTCAACCTGAGTTGCATGTATTTGTAATTAACCTCTTAATTCGTTCAAAGTGATTTGTTGAACATTATTTGCAGAAATTAAATTTTTTTAAAAAAAAAAAACTTTGTTTTTATCTTATTTCGCACACTCTTTCTGTGCCCTGATATTTTATCTTGCAAAGTACATAACAATAAAGCTCTTGCGTACCGCAGGGATTCACGATTAAAATACTTTTCAGAAATGCTCGATACGCCATAGCTTGTGTCCCATTTGAAAATGTTATTATTTTTTTTAGAAGGGGGGAGGTTCTCCCCTTGTAGGCCCTCTTGAGGGGTTGTGACCACCCGAGAAGTTTTCTCCCTGGATGATTAGGACAACAGTCCTAACTGGAACATTTTTAATCAATAATTGAAAAAAATATGGCATATGGAGCATTTTTTTGCGAGTCAATTTTTGCAAGTTACATGATGATGACTGCTTGAGCTAAATGACAAATGGTGAGTAATTGAGGAATTAGGTGCAATAAGGACTCTTCTCGATCTGGCGGCTCAGAATTTTTATGTACATTTTTACTAGTGTCAGGTAAAAAAAAAATATGTCCTTGCAAAGAGATGGATAATCAACTCAGTATTCTTCATGATGAACAAATATCTTTGGCACATATATCAAGATTGATGATCTGGTAATTTCCTCAGACTGTAATAAAGAAGTGCCCTTTGTACATCTAAGTTCTCAATTGAAGTTTCGAGATTTTGAACTACCTTGAAATCCAGGAATAGTTGTGCATCCGAGTCATGGCAGAGGCAAGACAGTAAACAACTATGAAATTAGCTGAAGGGGGTAGTCTACCCAAAAGATTTCAATTTTTTTTTTTTTTTTTTTTTTTTTTTTTTGTGCTTTTGAGTAGTACTTTGTCAAAAAAACACGAAAAAGCAGTCAGATTTTATGAGTTTATGAGAGAATTAGTTTTAGAAGCACTGCTCGGAGGATAATTTTGGCGTTATGAGTGATTTGGTAGCTCTTGGAGTCGTATTGAGAGAACAACAGTTCCGTTCTTAGAAACAGATTTTATTTTGAACTTACTATATACAAGATGACTGAAATTTACAGCTCAAAAGAAAATAGCTATTTTATATTGACAACAAGGACATTTAACAGAGTTTTGTGATCTATTATCCTTTCAAGCTGAATTAAACACACAACTACGTACTTTAACTTCTCATTTCAGAGAGAAAGAGCTAATTTTTCAAAAATCAAATTAGAAACATTCATTCAGATTAAACTAAAAATTGGAAAAAAAAGAGAGAAAAAATTGAACTTGCTTCGACATTTCAGCCAGGTATATTGTGATAATACATTTCTTCCTGTCTGATGAATATAAAGTGGGAGGGAACCCTTATATTCGCGGTTCACAGTGAGTCAAAATTTCAGAGAATAAAATTTTTCTTTACCTACAGCAGATAGGTGAGTCAAATGGGGGAAAAGGCATGGTTTTCAAACAAAACCTGGGAAACGAAGAGTTCTATTCCCATGGAAGGGATAGATTGGGGGAGGGAGGGGTCACGAGATTTCTACTGAACTCCTGTTGCTTAGGAGGATTCATATTCATCTTTCTGCAAAGTTCTAACGACTTAAGAGGAAGAAGAATCGTGGTCTTCGATAATTAAAGTCAAAATCTTTGACAGCCTGGTGCTTTATAGATTACTCAATGCTTTTGCATCCCTCAAATTTTTGAGAGAAATAATCCTAATAGCTTACCCAATTTCTTTAAAATAACATCCGCCAGAAATGATATATTTTTGCAATTTTAAACTATAAAGTAGTAAGAACATAATTAAAAATCTAAAAATAAAATAATTATGAGAGAAAAATAGAGTGGTTAATACATGAACAACGATATTTCTTCACACATTTTTGTGACTGTTTTAAAAATGATCAGTTGTTGGAGCCAGAGTAGTTTTCCAACTATATCTCACGATAATTTGCATCCAAATATGCTACTTGTAAGTTCGAAAGATGATCTAAAATTATAGATGACGTTTGATTAAAGATAAAAAATTGAGGAAGATTGATGGAAGTTTGCCATCCATTGCAGATTACAAGACAAAAGGAATGCAGTTATTCTAAGATCTTATTTTTGGAATTACAATGATGAGAGATGATGATAATCTTTTCCTAGCAAATTATCCAATTACAATGCATGTTGATTGTGAAGAGAGAGAGAGGGAGAATAGTTGAGAACAGCGGATAATTCATTCGAACACTCCTTAAGCACAGATCTGGCCGTAGACATTTTCATCACTGTATGCAATGTACAGAAAATAGTCTTCTTCGTGATGTTCCTGGGGGGGAAACAAAACACACAATGTTAGATGATGGATTATACCACTTCAATTTTTGGCCTACAGATTAAAAACATAGTGAATTTTTATTTTTTGGCAATTTCTTTCTAGAAGTAAACACACATCAAGATATCAAACTGATATAAAATGTTTGATTTGCTTTCCGCTATTAACAAATAATAGAAAAAACCAATGTCTAGGTACAAGTCAGCTGTCAAATTGAGAAAAGACTCTTTCAAAAACTCTTGAAAGAGGCAAATAGTGTCTGAACACAGAAATTCACCATTGTCTTTGCTCAAATGCAATTCCTTCTGTACGGTTTGATGATTTCTATGGTTTACTGATAACAATGCTGGGTTGAATATTTGACTTTTAAATAATACTAGGTACTTTGAAAGAAATAATTATTGGTTATGAGCTCTTGCACATCATGAACAGTTCTCTATTGGAAAAATGGAGAGAGTTCACTATAAATTCACCTTATCCCAAACCCCCTTTGTTTTTGTGATCACTAAGAAAGCACACCATGTGTTCTTGAATGGTTATAGATTTTTAAAATTGACTTTCAGGTAGAAAAGCAAATGCAGTGTGGTAAGGTGAAAATTTTTCTAACACAATAAGCAGTTAAGTACACACTTTTAGTAAAAAGACAAAGAAGACCTACTTGATAAAGAGAGCCCATCGTGGCACTTGTAGGTGGAATGACATTATTGACGAAGAAGAAAAGAGCATCCTCTGGTCTCAAGTGTACTCGTTTACGGATTAAAAAGTAAAATTGTCCAACAGTTAAGTCTGATGGAACTAAGTACTTTTTCTTGTCCAAGTCTCCAATCCTAGCTTTGGGAGCTTTTTCTACAATGACCTAAAAAAGACCAAGAAAAAATATTATTATTCACACACTCTTGTCCTTTCCCAAGACAACAAGGCATATTTCGTAAGTTAGGTCCATAACGGTGAAATAAGTAAGCAGTAATAGAAACTTAAAAATTGAGGAAAGATTCATGTTGTTCTTCCATGCTAAGTACTTTCTAGCGAGAATTTGTTCATGGGTGGTTATTCTGGCTAAATGCAATAGAAAATATGGACAGCGACTATTCTGCAAATCTTGCTCTAATTGGTAAAACCAGCGAGACGCTTGATCAGATTTTCAGCTACAGAGCGCAGCCCTACAAGGTTGATTAAAGTTATAAAAAAATGATTAATTTGAAAATGACATCTGAAATAAAACTCATTTTATAATGCATTTGAGATAACTTTGTACAGGTTCAAGCTCAGAATATGGTGCCTCGCTGACATAGCAGAACACATTTCCATGGACAATTTAGAGAGTAAAAGCTCTTTTCCGACGTCCAGTTAAGTGCTTTTATTCATAACATCCCCCAGGGGGAAAAATCCAAATCAGGTGATCTTTCATCACACAGTGCAAATGCAAAACCCTTATCATGAGGTACATAGTTGACAGTAAAATGGCATTAAAGAAGTCTGAAAACCAGCAAGGCAACCTACAAAAGTTTCGTCCGATGAAAAAGCACGAAATTACAGTGCTTACATAAAAGGTGATAAATTGACGGACGGTGTAAAGTGTTATGACAAGGGAAACTACGAAGAACAAAGATGGCCGAACAGCGTTATCAGACAAAGCAAAGGCATAGAAATCGACGTTATAAACATACTTTAAGAGCTGTAATTTAAGTTTTTGAATAGCTGAAAGTAGTAATTCTGTTGCAAAGGTTAGGAAATACGAAAGGAATGCAATCAAAGGAAGAAAAAGTAATTATTTCGTGTGCGAAAGTTACAAGGTCTCCATTGTGCTAGGGCAGATTTCAGATCGAAAATACATTACTGATACTTACGGGAACTCTGTCGGGGTACTTCTTCCTGATTTTCTCGCCTTCGCTTTTCCTCTTTTCAAACACATGCTCAGCTTTGTATTGGAAATTCATTTTGAAGTAATTAAGGGAATATACGCGTTTCAAACAATAATTCCGTGACAAGTTACTCTACGACACTCCGAAAAGTTGCGCACTAAAAGCAAAATAAACAACAAAGCGTAAAATGTCAACTAGCGGAAGTACCAACCCTGACGCGCATGCTCTACTGATATGTCGATAATGTTTCTGTAACAAATCCAAAATTGTACGATTTTAGATCATGGAACTCAAAATGAACGAAAATTTACTGGAATAGAAAAGTATTTAAGCAGCTAAACATTACTGATAGAGCTAATTCGTAGAAGTAATTTCTTGCATACTTGGTGCTTTTGAGTTTCTCAGATGGCAGTGCTGTATCACGGCGTAAAAAAAAGAGAAAAAAGTTCAGCTCGCAAATCCCCCCCCCCTTCCCTTTTACGTCGCTGCATAAAATTCATGATTCTCGCATGTAACTAATAAGAGCGGAGTTCAATCGTCGACATCGGCAGAAGTCGAATTCGAAAAAAGGGCAGTCGTCGACTCGAAGCGAACGGGTCGAATGGTTCCGCGAACTGCCGCGAATGTCATGAACATTCGCCGGGGCGAGTTCGGACGAGTTTGTTATTGTTTCTCATTAAACTANGCTGCCGTTTTAACACAAAGAAATGAGTCAGAGCAAGTGTTTTCGGTCTGCCTACGAAATACAGAGGTGTAGGTACCAATGGTTCAAGGACGGCTGACGGCTGGTGCTGGTCACCTCTCGAACGAGTCAAACGTTCAGTGGAGACGGAGTTCTTTTTTTTTTAGTTTGCTGGCTATTTGCGGAAAATGCGTACTCCCATCGCAACGACTCAAAATTTCCGCATATCATTAACTTTTTGTTTTCCAGACCAAACCAATTAAACTACGTAATGAATTATCTCCTGCAAATTTACTATGCATATATTTTTGAATGAGTTAAAAAAATTCACGATTTTTCGAAGAAATGTTCAGAGGTTTTTTCTTTTTCTTTTTCAGAAGAAAACACACAAAATCAGTAAGTTTTTATATATAAATGAAATATTAAGCAAAGATTAATTATTGCATACATACTTTTCGACTTCAGCCATCGTCGCGTATGTTGTAGAAACCTATTTTACGGAATAGCAACAATAGCCTTTATGGGGGTCGTGTCGAGCTTTCACCAGAGTACCTTTCTAGCTTTTACTGGATATACGAGTTTACTCTCCTTCATCTGACAATGCGTCATCAAGAAAGGTCTCAAATGCAATTTCCCTAATTCAACGCCGCGCTGAGGACCTTTTTCCTCAAAATGTTGTCAAGCGCAGGTTAGCTAGCCGATCGGAGGGGAGAGGGGCAGGGCCGGATTAAGGGGGCTGCCACATGGGCCGCGGCCCATGGGGGCAAATTTTGCAATTTTTTTTTTAAAAAATCGGATTCAGAAAAAAAAAAATTATCAATGAGAAAAGGGGACAAAATCTTTCTTTCCCGAGAGTATAGTAATTTCTAATTTTATCGTTTTTCGGTGAATAAAGAGACAGCATTTTTAATTAATGATGACGAGGACAATTGAGATGAAAAGGACAAGCCCTCGGCACTGCGGTCGCCATGTAAGACATATTAGCACCTACAAGACTACATGAATACTTCACCCATTGCGTCAAACACAGTGCGCCGGTCAGGAGCAGTTGGCGTGAAACCCGTAGCGCCTACAAGACTGCAGGAATACTTCACGCATTGCGCCAAACACAGTGCGATCAGCCCGGCGCGGCGCAGCGGCGGAAGTTAAAATTATTAAACCACATTTATATTTGTTCTTTCAATTTTTTGGTTCATTTCTTATGCATGGAGGACCTTGCTTACACAGAGATATGTTCACGGAACTTAACTTTCGCTCAAATTTCCGTGAAATTTTGCTAGTAGTGTTGGCAGGGCTTTCGCAAGAAATGTGTACTCAACGCGAGGAGGTAAACGCGTCTCATGCACCCCTCTCCCTCCGGCACGTTCGCTTGATGGTTTTTATTGATGTTTCAAAACGAATGAGAAGGGAGCGGCAAAAAGCAGGCGGCCCATGGGCGGCAAGTAGGTAAATCCGGCCCTGGGGAGGGGGGGGGATATTTTTTCAATTATTTGCAATTATTCATTTTATCTTGCATTTTTCTGCACGCGCTTAAAAAATTTACAAGATAATCATTTGGATGAGACTCGTACTTTTTAGTGCTCCCATACCTGTAGATTAGTGTCTTTGTCAAAGAGAACACACTAATGCATTTTTCAAAATAATATGCACAGAAATTTAGCAACCAAGCCTGAATACTCCTTTCCCCTTCACCCGCTTCACCCCCTTCACATCCTCCACAACGGTAAATAATCAGTAATTGTTGAGCTGGCAACGTGTATTTCTAACCTAAAAATACCATTTTGTTTGTGTTGATGTGTTGTGTTATCAAAATTTTGGATTTGGACGTGAATTATCTCATCTTTTCATCCTGTTCTAGCTTCTTACTTATTTGTTTTTTTTAAATCGGTTTTCGGAAGTACTACAGAACTCAATTCATCCCTAAGATGGTAGAAGAAACTGTCAACTCAGCAAACAAACCCAAAGTGAGTCATAAAATTAAGTGGCTTACTATCCAAAATTCCTGACTGACAAGAGGGAATTTTAATAATTCAGCAGCGGGGCAATTATTGAAATGACATCAACTCTATGTCACCGCTTTGTCTTGTCGCGCAATCGACTGAGTGCCACTCAGTCGATCGCGTGACACGACAAAGCGGCGACATATAGTCGATATCATTTCAATAATCGCCCAGCAGAAGGGCTGTCAATTATTTATTTTCACTATACATTTCCTTGATGTCTGCACTTATCTAAGTAAGAGTAAGGAAGTAAGTAAGCAAGGCTCATAGAGTAAAGTAGAGTCGCAATGTACTGGAGTGTCAATGAAGTCAATCAATGAACGGGCCACTCTGAGCCCCTTGTTTGCCAAAAGTGTGAGCCAAGTATGAGCCAAACAGCATATCGACGGTGAAACTACCAGACCACGTATCTCGTTTGCGGTGTTTAAAAATCTCCACTCACATTTTATTTTTTTGATGGAGATCAAATCAATATCATTCCTTACAATTTTCACAGATTTTTTTCTGCACAAAGAGGAAAAATCACAGAAGTTATCACGAATCGACGTTGAGTAGTTTTCTATTTAAAAAATAAAGTATGACGGGAGGTGTGCGACGCCGCAAACCAAGATACGTGGTTTGGTAGTCTCACCGTCGATATTCTAACATGGTAGCTTACGGAAAGACTGCAGGCTACAAATGGTTTTCAGGAATTATTAATTTGAATCGGTAATTATTTTCATAAATTTTGATGAAGTATAAGTATGTTGACTAAAGTCACATCAAATTAAAATATTTAAGAAATTCCTGGTTTTTATGAAATAAATTTTATACCTGTATTTTTTGAACAAAGCTCGGAACTCAGAATCAGCTCATGTGGCATCAACAGTTGCCGCTCTCTTATCTCAGGAGTACTGGACAAAGCAGCCTCAAAAAGTGACTCCATCGACGCTCCAGAACATTGCAACTAGGTTGTACTTCTATGGTATGGCGCTTATTATCTCAAGAATTTTTGGCAAATTTTCTTCATCAGAAGATTGTCAAAGAAAGAAACTTCAAAATCCCTTACAAATTACTTTTTTAGATCATGATCCTTAGCAGTAAAATATCTAAAGCTTGATCAGCCCCACATTAAATTGAAAATCTGCAACAAAATCTGTAGTACTTTAATATGGTGATTTGCCCTCTGAGCATGTAGGAATTTATGACAGCTCAGTCGAAAGAGGTGTCTCATCTAATTTTATTTTTTCACAACTTTTTCAGACACGAACAGTTCGTCCCCGTGCTGTCTACTTATGGTCAGTGGCAGATGTCCAAAAATGGTTAAGACGTCATTGCGCTGAGTATTACCCAATGTATGCTGATAAATTTCTTCAGGTTTGTCACTTTTCTTGACAATGATTAACAATGTGCTTGACATTATTAATCAATTTTTTCTCGATGTGAAATGAAGAGCTTGAAGGACAAGGGGCATAAGTGCAGTTTTTGCTATTTTGAGAAATACAGGTTTGAAATTTTGAAATTACATGGATCCCCATGGCGGAAAAAAAGTTCAAAATGACTTTTTGATGCTTAAAAATTGGAATTTGGTAGCAAATTTTGCCCAGATTATGCTCCGAGACTAATTTTACTTGAAATCACTATTATCTCAATTTTTTTTAAAAACTGCACCTATGCGCCTTGTCCGCCAAGCCCTTCGAATATGCTATTTTTCAACTAAGTGTTCCAGTCTCAGGGTTAAATTGGATGTTGGGGAATGAATCAAGAAGAGCTTACATAAACTATGAGTAGGTACATTTGATTTTGTGAAAGGACATAATCTGTTCAAAGAAATTTGAATTAACAGTGAGAACACAGTTATTCTGAATGACTTGTCTTGTTAAATGCAAAAAGGGCATTTCATGTGGCAGCTGTGATTATTTATTTCAACCTTAAAATTACTTTCCAACAAGGATTGAAACTGTTAAAATCTTTCATAGATCTTATATTTCAATGGGGAAAACAATTTAACAGCATCTGGCCAAACTTGTTGCCAGGAACAACATCTATACTTTCAATTGCTAACATCTCGAAGGAAGGTTTTCCAAGAGCCCTTTCTGCAATAATAGCCTTAATTTTAGGAGTCATCTTGGCAGGCCAGTGACAAGCTTAGTTTTTAGGAGCCGTCACAATTTTTTTGGGCTCAAGATAATTTTTTTGCATGTGTATTACCTATGGCATAGCATACAATTTTACAAGGGGCACTATTTCAAAGAACAACCCCTTTATTCATGATGTAAAAGGCATTTTTATTCATATTCATTATTAGTATAATATCATATTAAAATCAGTCCATTTGACGCAGTATAGCAGCTTTAACTGCATGCAAAGATTTTCACAGATAATTGAACCTATGTTGACCTTTGTAATTAAATACACAATTTTGATGATTCTCTTGTGTTTTCGTTTCATTATGGGGATCTAACATTGTGAATTTGCTATTTTACAGCATGAAATCACAGGCAGAGCTCTAGTGAGAATGACGGAGAACAAGCTTATTCGCTTAGGGATCCAAGACAGCAAAGATCGGCAAGAAATTTGGAGAGAGATCATGAAACTGCGTTTGAAAACAGATATTTTGGAAATCCGAGACTTGGAGAGGAAAAATTGCAATGACTGAAGATATATACTCCGGAGCAGGAGGTATAAAGTGGTATTTTATAAAGTTGCAGGCTAGTTTACTGGCTGTAGTGATTCAAGCAGCATATTTCTGAGCAAAATGTCACCTAAAATTACATCATCAATTGAAGTATACTATGGATCTTGTGAGCCTAAGAAGCTTGCCTTGTTGTGACTTAGATTGAATTGGCTTAGAATTTGAACAACTGTTTGTTCAAGTCCTCAAATGTCAGATTGACAAATGATGAGAGAATGTAAACAAGGATTATACGAGAGGAACTAACTGAAATGGAAATTATATGTAGGTGGATGCTATGTATTGCATCTGCACAATATGTAGTGCACAGACCCTAAATAGCTGTATGATTCAAATTCTATTCTAGATCAAGGGCCTGAATGAGCATAAGTCAACATCATATTATCCTCTCTTAGGGTAGATTCTCATTTCTGTGTTCCTTTTCGTTTCATTACTTATGGCTCACGAGCTGCCGGGGCAATGTGCCGATTTACGATGTGTCTTGAAAACATGCAAACCCACTATCTTCTGACGATGGTTAGTTTCAATTTTTTTCAATTGACCAACTCCATCATGCAACTACATTTTTAGGTAATACCTATTGTCAATTTTTAGTGACTGAAAGTTTTGAGCCAAAATTTTGTGCCTTACTTTTTCACTTTGTTTTTATTTTAAATAAACATTTGAAGTTGACTTTTGACTAATAATTTCACACCACTGGAAGAATGTATGAGGGTCGTTCAGAATGTAATTTTCTCTAGTCTTCCTTCTCAATAACTATTGAGGCTATAAAAGCTCTGAAGAAGTTGAGCATCCCCTCAAAAAATGTGTTAAGCTTTGGGCACATAGAAAATTTAGTGATAAGTAGGTACTCATTGAAAGGAATGCATTAAGAACATCATATTCAGTTGGGATAAAGTTTAGCCATCGCCGAATACCTTGGATTGCTGGGAAGGGTTCTTCGGTTCTTGGTCTAAATTTTGAAATTTCAAAAGGAAACCCAGAGGGAGAAAATTTGACATGATTTATTCAACTTTTGACTTACACTTATAAAATTAAAAAAACAAACTTAAACAAAACATTGAGATTATGAGAGAGTAAAAAGGTTTCAAACTAAAATAAAAATAATGATAAAAAAAAAAAAAACAATATGAATGACTTAATTCTTACAGTTTTAAAAAAAATCACCTCTTGACCAGAATAAGAGCACCACTTTCAGTCTTGACTTATCGTCTCTTCTTTGTTTTGTCCTGAAAACATAAGAAGAAAAAAAAAGAGAAAGTTAATGTATGTTCCATGATTTGCATAAGGAGAGCAGTTTCATTCTTTGGAACAGAACACTTTTAACTTTAGAAAGGTTTTGGAGTTTATCAATCAAATCTAAGGTTGAAAGCTAACATACGTTCAATATAGACAGAGGAGTAAGCACTGAGGAAAGAGTAAGAAGACATGGTCGAAGGGTGAGGAAGTAAATGTACATAAAAACTTACATTAAAAGGTAACAGAAGGCACCAACCTGTTTCCATTTTAGTTTTAAAAGTAAGAAAAATACCTACTTACCTCTTTTGCTCGAATTATAAGTTCAGTTCTGATAATAAAAAACAAAATGAATAATGAACAAAAAGGTAAACATACATGGAACTGAAAAAAATGCTTTCTGCAGAATGTAACAATTTCCCTCCAGAGCTTTCATCAGTGATCATAAAAAAAAGAATACAAACTTGGAACATGATTCTCCATTATTGATCTCAAATTCGGAAAAAGTCTAATTGATGAGAAATTATGCTGTTCGGTATGTTAAAAACTAAATGATGCATCAATTATTCTCACTTCTTTACAGCCTTGAAAACTAATTATCGGTGAATTGATAGGTCTATGCCTCATAAGGAAGACAAGGCGCATCAGCGCAGTTTTTGCTATTTTGAGAAATATAGGTTAAAAGTTTAGATATTACACGAATCCTTATGGTGAAAAGGAAGTTCAAACTGACTTTTTGATGCTTAAAAACTGAAATTTTGGAGCAAATTTTTCACTGAATTCGCATTAAGAATAGTTTTACTTGAAATCATTCATGGGCTCAATATTTTCAAAAACTGCATTTATGCGCCTTGTCCTACAAGCACCTCATATAAGTTTCAAGAAATTTTGAGATTACTTTCCTTCGTATAAAATTAAAAAGAAAAATAAAAAAAACAGGAAAGAAAAAATTGTTAAGATACATTTTCAGAGCTGATATTAACACATTGCAAGAAGATTTCAGACTTCACTTGAGAAGAGGATACTCTTCTGTGATGATAAAAAAGAAGGTTAAAAGAGCATCTAGAAATTTTATAATTCTTTTCTCCCACATGATAGGGCACATTTATTCCTTGCTTTGATCTCCTAAAGTGGGCTTATGAGCACTACAAGTTACTATCATTTAAATATGTTCTTGCACTATAGCAGTGTTCCAGTTATTATATGAAGAAAACAGTTTTCAAAGGCTACCTCATATTTGGAGAATTTATTGCGGTAACAGAGAGCGGCTATCAGATTATGAAACATAAGAGACTTGAATCCCTGGCGAGACACTTTCATAAGTTTAACTTCAAGTTCAAAGGGAAAATTTTAAAAGAACGTTTCCCTTGAGTTAAAATTTTACTGTTTTCATTAATACCCAATGATTCTCAGAAAACAGATTAGAGGCAATTGAAAGGAACGCTATGATAACGTTAAACTCTTTCTCCTTTTTTTTTCTTTGAATGAAGGTTTTGTGCAAAAAGTTCTTCACAGAAACAGTAAGCAGAAACACAAAGAACTTTAAAACACAAAATCTTAGTATGGTAAAAATTTTACTGCTTATCAGATAAATATAATGCACAATCTCAGCAAAGTTCAACCAATTTTTGTTCATGCTGCTTTAGAAAAGTTATGATGTTCATTTGGTTGAATTGTTGTGGGGGCAAGGGAAGAGACCTATAAAGGTATGTTTCATGAATCTTAATGAGAATCTAACCATCTGATAAAATGAATCGCTCCGCAGGATATTTGGCATAGATTTTCTTCAAAAAGAGAGCAGGAGCCCCAAACTAAAATTTTTATTCTGAAAATTCAACGATGAATTGCTATTCTAGGTTTCTTTCAATCAAATATTCATTTCTGCAAGTTACAAAACAAATTCAAGTAAAAATAAAGGAAAAAACCGAAGGCACTTTTTAAAACAAAATGAAATCAAATTTCTTTTAAACAATTTATTGTACTTCACACACATTTTCTTCAAAGTTTTAGAAGAATTAAGAAAAGAGGTTTTAAGAAAAAACTTTCCATCGCTGCAAGCAGCAGAGAGAAATAAGGAGAAAAAACATACTATACAAATATCATACCGGTAACGCCCGGACAAGGTTGATTATGAATCAGTGGATTTTCAGCAATTAAAATAAAATGAGAACAAAGAATACACTTGAAATTCAAACACAAAATATTTGAAAAAAAAAATCAAATAAAATAAATAGAATAAAGTAAAAATATATGTGAGTATATCAACTTTGCCCTTGTTGAAAAATTGAATTTCAAATTTTTGATTAACTACCGATAAAAAGAGTTTTCAGATTGCTTGGGAAGATTCTTTTCAAGCAACTTTCAAAACTTTCAATTTTCCTTTTTTTTCGGTCATGTAATGTTCATGGAAAAAGAGTTCTAAATAAAATTCGAGTCATGGATTTTTGATGACACGATAATGTTTGGTCACACTGGGATAGTATGGTTAGCAACCTTCAGTAAACAGTTACTATAATTATGAGTAACTGTTAAAACATAAAAGAAAATAAAAAAAGGTATGAAAATTTAAAACTGGTAAAACCTTCAATCAAGATTTGTACATTATAATAGCTATGTTATAAGAATAAGATGATAAATGACAAACAGCAATTTAACAATAAACGTATTGAAACGCTAACAGTTTGGTGAAACAAAAAAAGGCACAAAGAAAGTCACCTGTGTTCTGACTGGTCAATATGGCAATATAACAGTAACAACAAAACACTGTACATGAAGAAAAATCCATCATGGTTATATGTACTATCAGATAATAATAAAATCATCTCAGTATAAGAAACTAAAAACATTAATTTCACTTAGGTTGAGTCTACGCAAGCAAACTTCCATCAAAGTATTTTGATGAGCTCCAAGTTTGTGTATGGTCCAAGATAAACTTACTAGTATTTGCTTTCACCTAAACTGAACATGCATGGCTAAGTGTACTTAGTTTGTCACATTCGCAAAGCTGGCTTGTTGCAGAAGTTAAAAAGACCAATTTTTGTTGTTTTAAACTATGAAAATTCTTCTGACTTTTTTTTAATACACCTGAGGCTTGAACAACTTACAAGAAACTGTAAAGTTGCTTGCGATTGCAGAAGACAATGCTAGTTCAAGGAAATATTGAACATACCTACTGCATTGAGGGTGAATGGTGAAACTGCAGAAATCCTATCTCAGTTGTGGTATTTCAAAATCTCTGTTCCTATTTCATTTTTTAAAAGGAGACTAAACCAACATCATGGCATGAAAATTAATATTCTTCACATAGGGAGGAAAAATCATCGAAGTTTTCAAGACATTACGTTCAGTTATTTTCAATGTAGAAAATAAAGTATGACAGGAAGTCTGCTACACCGCAAACCGAGAAACGCATTTCTGTAGTTTCACCTTCAACATGCCACTGCCTAAGAAACAAAGTTTTTGGCTCAATGCAAAGAAATTCACAGAATAGTGAATTAGAAAACACTTTTGTAATTATAAAAGTGAGAAGCTCAGGACACTGAATGTTTCGATTGCCACCGAAGCTCTGTTGCAGACTGAGCACAGCAATATACTTCCTGAAAATATGATTTAGAGATTATCGTTTCTTAGGCTAGTTACATGTGATTCTGTGTTTCCCGAATGAACTTTACAAAAAAACCATAATTTAGAAAGCTGTGGCAAGCTGGGAAAAATCCAAGCAATATTCTGCTTAAAGTTTAGGGATAGGTTTGAAGTACAATGGTGATTTCCTTCGGTCTTATACGAAAAGATAACACTGCAGTCTCGCAGGTAAAGATATCTTGACCAGATAAAGAAACAACCTATGTACATTTTAAAAAGTACAATTCATAGAGGAAAATCCTACTACGTACATGATATTGTTTTATTGAAAAAAAGAGTAAGAGGTTTCTGTGATGCTAATTCATATTTAAATATGATGACAATCTCAAACCTTTGCATTTCAACTAGACTAACATGCTATATGCTATTAACACATGGCTGAATCCAAATATTGTGACATATACTTGGTGTAATATAATCGGTCTATTTCTAATGACAATTGGTTCCATTTATGCAGAAATTAGTCTGTTTGCTGCTAGGAGCAAATGTTCTTTTGAATTTTTACGGTCAATGTTAAAATGGAACCCGATTGCAAAAACAAGCGTTAGACAGAGGTAAATTAAGCAGAGTTTTATCATAAAATTCTACACCTTGATTCCAGATAACATTCCTATTATGACATGCATAAGGGCTTAACATTTTTAAGAACTGCACCTGAATTTTGGGGAAAAAATAGACCTGATGGATGAAAATATTAACACATGACAAGGCACCAAGTTTTCCGGGGCAGGAAATGATGAAGCTCATTACGAAACTTTTTGAAAATAAGGCATTTCTAGAAAATAGAACAATTTTACTTTCTTTCTAGCTTTTTGACAAACATATGCACCGCACAACCTTTTCAACCTAGATACTAGATAAAGCCGACTTTCTTTTCATGTGACGGGAAAATTTGAATTGAGTGGAGATGATTCATTCACTTGCATTCCAGGTGAAATTCCTTGATGACAGGTCTTGATTCAAAAAGAAGAAAATTCGGATCAAAAACTTGAGGAAACATGCAATATTACAAAAACACCATCCGTAGAACACACCTTTTAAACAGAATATATCGCATTGGGGGAAAGAAGAATCTGAGTCTATTTCTGCTTTCAGCATAGAGGCAACAGGAGGTGAAAAATCAGAGAGATACAGGCTATAGATATCTTACAGAAGAAGTTTGCTGCTATCACATAGACGTATAAAGGATCAACAAGCATAAAAAGGATGATATGTAATGCTGAAATGCCCTGAAGAAATTCAGAGGTGCAGAAACTTCCCAATCACGCAATTGCTTTACTGTTTTCGTAGAAAAATGGGTAAACCAGCTCACTGACTCACCAAAATCGCATATTTTCCAAAAATTGTTGTAAAAATCGCGTATTTTTCCATGAAACTGCGATTATTCGGTTATAAAAAATCAAAAAGATTGTAGCTAAGAAAAATTGAGAAAAGAAGTGGTTTCAATAAGAGGGAGGGCTAAGAACTTTCTGCACCCTAGGAGAAAGTAAAGTAGGTAAATACAAATTCACAAGCTAAAAAGAGTATGACTCAGACATGCACTAAGCTTGAGGGCAAAATAAAAAGTACCTATGTCTCAAAAGTCAAATTCTAAAATTCTACATAAAAACCTCCGTAAGTAGCACTTCTTACAAACTTCAAGCTCCTCTCATCATTTTAAACAAGGCACTGAATTTCGAAGGCATCATATTTTTTTTTTAGAAAAAGAATGAATAGTCATTCAAGTAGACAGTAGACAGTTATGCTATTACTACAGGAGGTATGACTAACTGATCATCACCAAGATATCGTATTTACAACATGAACTGACAAAAAAGAATTCATGTGCAAACAAATTAAACTATCAGTCAAAGATGAATGCAAAAATCAAACAAATAACACTCCCAGATGTATCAGAGGCAGGATACTCCAAATTAAATATCACAGTTTAAAATGAAAAAAAAACCGCAATTTTAAAAAGCATTAAGGTACTAAATGTATTAATGGCTGGAAAAAAAACTTGCATCCAAATTAAGAGAAGTGACAAAGAATCGTAACAGAACAGTTAATATAATGTGTAATGGAACACCAACACCAATTTAGGGTAACCTTCAATAAAAAACAATGGGTATTCGCACAGCATTGTTGCCACATTTGGCTGAAAGTTCAGCACATTTCCTCATCTAACTAAACGTAAAATATCCTGGGGTTTTCACACAATCTGGCAACTTTGTCGCACGGGCAAGAATGGACTGTCCGCTTGTAGTAATTGTTTAAAATCACAGGTATTTATGTGGGTTATGCTGTTAGAGTCGTTTTTATTTTTCTTGACTTTTGGTCAGTTTTTCATATTTAATTCATTGTATTATCGTTTTGGTATCGGAGCATAGGGGTTTCAAAATTTCAGCAAAATTGAATCGATGGCTTTCGAGAAATTCACCTCAGAAATCTCTTCAATGATATGCTCATGGATGTATTTTTAAATCAAATTATGGGTAGTCCAGCAGGCCAATTATTGCAATTGATAGGTAAAGCTATAGACAAAGAGGATAAAAAGGATATGGAGGGATCCTATTTGTGAAAGTGGGTGGTTGCAATGGACAAAGGAGGTAGGTTGTAGACTAACTAACAGCAACCCACGAGAGACCCCAAAGTTAGTCCATCGATTTCTCCCTTAGTCTATGAGAACCATCCATGTCATCCAATAGGATCGCTCAATTCTCCCTATGTCTTCTTTGTCTATCAACTTCGATAATCATCCCGCAGCTCCTATAAATCTTTGAGCAGTAATCCCAGGATACACTATACAGATAGTCCATTTTTTATTTTCTCCGCGTAAGACAGAAATGCAAGTACCTGATTTTATTCTAGGTTACACTACACCAACCCAGTTTAAGTTAGAGCAATAGTAAGGCACAAAGCTACCGGAGCTAGATCAAATATATACTAGCATTCATCCACAAACAATAAAGATTCCATGTGATTCAATGGCTAGGGGATTTTTGGTTGAAAGACAGCCAATTGACGCTATAAACATTGCTTAGCTTTGCACTATTAGCTAGGCACATATCATATTCACAAAATTAAGAGAGCATACTGCTATTGTCATAAAAATGTATATGTAGTAATGGATTTTGATAAAACAGTCAATGATTAACTGGTAACGGTTTTTGATTCAAATGCATGAATTGAGAAAAACGATAAAATGTATGTACACAAGCAGACTGAAGCCTAATGTTCCGGGAGTGTTCAAAGACCATTAGGTAACAGAGCCTGATGACGATCTGCTAATGTGTCAATCCATGCATTTCAATACTAACTTGACCTGCCAATTTAGCTGCCAAAAAAATAACCAAAACAATCCAATACATTACACCGATACTTCAGATCCATTTAACGAGTACCTAGATTACCTTATAGGCAACTCCATTAATCACACTGCTAACTCACTTTAATGACTAGCTTCCGACGTTCAATCACCTTAGAAATAATTAAAGCATTTGGAAATCATAGATAAGCCATTTCACTCTGAAAATTCACTGATTAATGGATGAGAGAAATGGTAAAACAGGGAGGATTGGGGAAGAGACCCTCTTTTTCCTTGCTAAATAAAAATGCATAATTTTGAGACGATGGAAATTTTGCTTTCTGTGTTTTAGTTTGGCACATTGAAGGAAGAATTCACCGGGCTGGGAAAGTTTCTAGTCTGTGGTGTTCAAACTAAACCGTTTTCACAAGTTGGGTTGTGAAACTTATTTTTGACGAGTGATGGATGGTGTTGGCAATTGGGGTTGTAATAAGAAAAATTTGTCCACATTTTTTAAAGATCACCGACAAAATTTGATAAATTAATTTAAATATCAAACCCTAATACTTAGGACAAATACATCCTCCTCAATGAACAAAAGAGAGCATCAACATGAGTAAAAATATTCCCAACTACTGGAGCTTTTTAAACCAAACCAAAATAAGGCCACTATCAATTGACTGTCTAACTTGATTGAAAATAACAGACTAAAATTATTGATTTTGTCTTGTAAACAGACATACTTGTGAGATGATGTCCATACAGACAGAGTTCAGTAATTTCACAGGCCAACTAAATAGCTAAGAGATATCAGATTTTATAATCAAGTGGTTATTCTTCTAAAAAAAAAGGGGGGGGGGATTTTAAAAGACTCTTGTATGGCCTTGTTCCTTGATAAGTCTGATATAGTTGGTGGCAGAAGTATCTAGGGAACCATTGAAGACTTACTTTCATCAAAAAAAGGAACAACATAGTCTCCAATGATGCTTTAAAAAATTTCTTCTGAAAATAGTACAAAGGGAAACATCTAGTTTGTGCCTACCAAACTAGACTTACCACCAGAATAGGTCTTCACAAATTTAAATACGTTAAATTAACGATAAACTATCGTTGAAAAAGGAGAGGCAAAACACTACAATTCTCATGAAACTATGGAGTGATATATGTCTCCAATGGCAACATAAAGCATTTGAGAGGAGATTCACACTCTTAGGAGGCGATTTTTAATGACATTGCTCTTCAGCATTCAGGAGAGATCATCAGAATATTTGATTGATTTACCTTGTGCACTTTCTTGTTTACTAGTTTATTCACTACATCTCCGATGATGTACAGTAAAAATGCGTAGGCTAACATGGCAGCAAAGAATAGCATTCGGAAAGGCAGGTTCAACTCTTTGAGAATTGGATAAACCCAGAGATCACTCTTCAAGTAGATAATGTGGACCCTGGAAAAATACAGTTAAAAACTTAAATCAGTGAAATGAACTGCTTTCAATTAACAGCAGCAGTGCAGAAAGTTTCCTGGCACAAAATATTTTTTGCAACCTGGTGTTATGTTAAGTTACTTTACGTTACATTAAGTTTTTAAGTGTGTGGGCACATGTAATGATTTCTTTTCAATTGACTGTGGTTTTGTACAATAGAAAAATCCAAATATTGAAAAATCTAATATTCTCTGCACTCCTGACTAGAGGATATTTTAATCAAAACCTTTCAAATTTAAATTTTTTTTCAAGTAAATTACCAACTGTTTTCAAAGTAGTTGCTGTGTTAAAAATTAAAATGTAAGGAAAATTGGACCCAATGATGTTCTTTAGGTCAAGATCATAAAGTTGAGCGATGAGAAAATAAGTCGAAATAATTCTAACGTTTCGAAGTTTTCTTACAGTGTTTTATGCTGCAACTTTAATCTATCTATTTGAACAATTTTATGGAATAACTGAATGTACTCAAAATAATTTGAAAGTAGGATGCACATTATTTCTTTAAAAATTGTTGGTTAACCCCCTTTCCCCTAGAGTCTCTATTTCTACCCTGCAACTGTGGCCATGAACAGAAAAAAGGACCTTGTTGTTAATCCACAGTGGTAAATTTTTAGCATGGCAATTTCCACCGAGTTGAGTTGCAAAATCGAATTTTGAGATTTTGATGGTAAACTCTTTACAGTATGCTTGAGAAAAGTGGAGAGTCGTTTAGTAATTTTTTGCACCTCATGAGGGCATAAAATTGCATCATAATCCAACCATTTTGATTCCTGAGCATGATAGAGTTTAGTTTTAAATAGCTTTCTCTCAAGACCAGGTTTTCGAAAAGCAAACTTTAAACCTCCATAACTCCGGTTTGGTTTGATACATTTTTGCCCCGAGATATTGGTTGGACTTTCTTCAATGTTGTGGTATCATTATCATAATATTTTTTACGGACTGAGATCCTTTTTCCCGCAGCCGATCACAATTATAGCATGCTGCAGAGTAATCACATTCAAGTAAAACAAGTACTATTAACATATCGACGGTGTAAGTCGGCAATCACACAACTCGTTTGCGGTGTCTGAAAATCTCCGCTTTTATGTTCTTTTTTTAAAGGAGATCAAATTGACATTATTCCTTGAAGTTTTTGCAGCATTTTCTTCGCACAGGGGAGAAAAATCACGGCAATTTCTAAAGAATTGTTGTTGAGTGGTTTTCCGTTTAAAAAATAAAATATGACAGGAATTCTGCGACGTCGCAAACCGAGTTATGTGATTGCCGACTTACACCGTCGATATATGACTGAATGTAAGCCAAAATGACCCTCAGTGTGTTAGGTCTGAGTCTTTTTTTTTATTGATTCATCAGGATAAGAAGAAATTAAAAACAGCTTAAAAATACATTGCCTTCCCCATTATTGCCATAGAGCTGTTAATTTTCTTCCACAAAACTTTTTTTAAACTTCATCAATTTTTTTTCTTCTTCGTTTTTTAATAAAGCAGTTTAACTTGTTTCAGTTTAGCTATGGACATAAATAATTAAATAATAGAGCAATTTACCAAACAACGTAGATGACCGTGAAAGTTCCTAGTGTGAACAATCCTCGAGATCGTTCAGGATAAGTATGAGGTGCAGACAACATTTCCAAGACGGCAAAAACAGCAACCATTGTGTGCACGATATGATTCAGCCACATAGGGAAGTATGGGTCTAAAACTCTGGGTAATACAAGCTCCCGATCAAGAGTATATAGTCCCCAAAATACTGTAGCCACAAACTAGAAATAGAAATAATTGAAATAATATTACATTAAAAGATCTGAACACTCAGAAGTTCAAAGAAACGTTTTACACACATTTGGGTACATGAAATCCTCAGAATTGTTGAATCGAACCAAAGATGTTACCTAGGTTTTGTTGTCAAACATTGTTTCATAAGAAAATATTCAATCTCATTATGCCGTTTAAACATGCAGACTTTGAATGTTTCAAAAAAGAAAGAAAAAAAATTGGGAAAGAGTATCTCTAAGAGAGATTGTTTGCTGAAGTGGCGAAATTTTGTGCCTCAGTTCTTAATTTCATGGTGACACGGGGGTCTATATCACTGTACGCATCATCCACGAGGTCTAGGGTTTTCTTCCCAGAATTACTTACCACATTTTACACATTTCTACAGTTCCATTTTGGTTACTTCTTTCTTTTTTCTGATTGCATGCATAATTACCATTTTCATCTGGATATTTATATACCTGATAATTTGATTATTCATTAATTTGAAAATAATTACTTTATTGAAAAAAAGAAAAAAAACAAGTGTGGGACCTTCCTGTTATTATTTTTTTCCTCAGGGGTAGAGGGAGGGGGTATTGGTTTGTTGCGACATTCAAAAAGACACTCAGGTTGGAGTTCTGACATCTTAATTAATTAGTACATTGTATGATGATGTTAACTTTATTAAATGAGCACCGTTGACAGCTACCAGAGAGGTTTCACCCCTTCTTTGGCATTTTCTTTTTTTTTCTTTTCGTATTTTTTTCATTTTCATTGTCAAAATAAGTTACAACCATTAATTCTTACAAGTTTGTCCACAAAATAAAGAGTGATCATAAACCTACGTATTTAGAGGAGAGAGAAGAAACCAAAACAGAACCATCACAGAAAAGTATAAAATAGGTATACAAGAAAATGTTACTTTAGCAAGCAATCCTCTATGCTAATTTTTTTACGAGATTTTTTGAAACTTCCAAAACCCGTTTAATTTGACTCAAAAATCATCAATTTCCGAAAATATATTAGCCTGGTCTCACCAAGACGTTCCCTGTATGTATGGCCCTTGGGCCCTATAAAATGGCCTTGTATATATATAGCCTGGGTAAAATTTCAGCCACAAATGAGAATTTTTAGGGGTTGTAAATCGACTATTTTTTATTGATGGGGAAATTTTCATGAGGATTTGATGGAAATTATTTGACAGTGTTTATCTCCACTCATGAGGGTGAAAAATTCTCATAAGTTGAAAGACTGGCATGATTAAAAGTAAAAATTCAAACTTACACATGCGATTGGGAAACCGATGGTGGCAAACAAATAATTCTTGAAAGCTACAGTCTTCGGAGGTTTGTTGGGGTTGCTCTTGACAAATATGTCCAAAATCAAGCAATATGTGAAAAAGAATGCTTGGATACACTGAAACAGAATGATTTCAAGTTAGTATATACAAATGAGTAGCTGTGGAAAGTTGATGAAGATATAAGGCCAACTAAGTTTCACTTAAGATGAAAATTGGCAAAAAGCTCAAAATCGAACAAAAAAAAATGTCCTATTCATTGCGCATCTAATCTTTTTGGCCCAAAATAATTTAAGAAGTCCTAAATGTGAACATGAAATTCATTTCTAACATAAGGTCCCATGGAAGGAGGAAACTTCGAACCTCTTATTTCTCTGGATTCAGTTCTCTTTGAATTGAATATTTTTGAGCCAAAATAATATTACCTAGGTATATTAGGTACAACATTATAATATTTGCTGACTTTTGAAGTGAGATAGAAAATTTCTATCTTGATTTTTAAGATTTGAACTGAATGCAAAAATTAAAATGTCTTAGTACACACAAAAAGTTAAATGGCAGATACAAATTTGACTCTGAATAGTGCTTAGTGCACAACGAATTTAAGTACTGTTATTTCCTCAACCATTTCTGTTCCTCCCCTTTAAGTAGGTACGTGCTTGTCATTAAGTAATGTAGAAAATTTCAATCCTAAAAAAGCACATGTTCTAGAGGAAATTCCAATTACCAGAAAACTGACATAGATGAAAGGAGGAAAACAAAAGCAGATGCCTTTTTCAGATCAAAGAAAACAGAAGTACCAAAAAGATTATATCCCCCCCCCTCCCTTTTCGAAAAAAGATTTGGTAGGTAGAGAAAATTTCTAGTTGTTAAGAGTTTAGTAAAGAACGTTTCCCCCAGAGCCTCCCACAGTTTGTAGTTAAATTTGGGGAACTTCAAAGGACTTTTAATTACCCAATAAAATCAGACAAAAAAATTAACAAAAAGCAGTACTTCAGTTTAGGATGAGCAGTTGTGATTGAGGGCATCGTTTCAATTCCATCATTATGAGATGCACAATAATAGCTTCAGAATGATAGAAAGATGGTTATCCAAACAATAGATACTATTAAAAAAGCATCAGGAAAGCAGGTATGTTTCCTGAACTCCCCCCCCCCTCCTCTTTTTGTCTAAATGGATATTAAATGATAGGATTCAAAAGCAGCATGTAACGATCTACATCCAGAATCACAGGGAGGATGCACATGCTGCATGTACATGTGTCTCCTCTGTACATGTATAATTCAAATCCAGATTGTCAAAAAAATTACCTTGGGGTACTAACAATTTTTAAGATGGATTGCAAGAGAATTTTTTGGAAACGGAAGACTAGTATCCTCTCGAAAAATGAATACATGACTGATAGAAAAAACAAATACTTTTAGTCTTCTTCAATAGGTATAAAAAGTAGAAATTTCTAGAAGATACAGCAGGTGCCTTCATGTAAAAAAGTACCTAGATAAAGTTATGTCATTCACAATACTCCGATAAAATTTTGAAGAAAATTCCAGAACAAAAAATTTTTTTTATGAGAGGGTTTAGAGTTGAGCAGATACTAGATACATGATCACCAAATCTTTGTGGTTGAGGAATCAGTGAAAAAAGGACCTGGATGTGTTTAACTACATACTAGCCAACGCTACCTGGATGAGTCGATAAAAATAAATAAATAATACAAATTTACATACCGCATTCCAGAATGTTAGATATTTGAATTTATCTCCAAAAGCTGAATCCAAAGGGCTTATCTTGCTGGGAATCTTCACTTGCCAGTGGAAATAAACTCCGCTGCAGAACAGGATAGAGCCAATGACGTGCAGTAATACATTAGCTGTACGCAACACGGAACTTAGGGCCATTTTGAAAAGTGACTAGTTATTACAAGATATAGCACGTCAAGTATATCAATTGATGCTGTTTTTAGGGAGGTACAGGCAACGTTGAAAAATCTATCACAATAACTTCAGAGAAAACATCGGTGAGCAATTGATTGATTCTGTTCAAAGCACGTTATCATCCTTCCAAATAGTACGTTCTTTGAAAATGTTTTAAACAGTTATTTACAAAAACAGACAGGTTGATTTTCAAATGAAGAATTATAATTTATAGCAGCTTCAGTTGATCATCACTAGTTGTAGAACACACTTAAGTATCACGATATGGCTTATCACAAAAACAGAGGATACTCCAGCAGCGCTAACAAAACAATTGACCTTGAATTAGTAAAACTTTGACCACCAAGGTAAGATTGAAATATTTTGAAAGCAGGGAATAATTTAAGGGGACCAAAACTTCGGTAGTTAAGATTGAGGAGAGACGAGGAACAGAACTTCAGAGGTCAGATTTTCACTGATCACCACTTGATTGAATTAATGGTTTGCGAAAGTGGGGGACTTGATAAGATGGGGGACCAGTTTAAAATAGCTCCAGGAAACTGTAGAACCGATGCCCGAATCGGCATTTATGACCTACTGATGCAACGCTCGTAACATAACTGATTAGCGGCGAGAACTGTGCAGTGTGCGGCACAGTAGCAGGAAAAAGTGCTCACACTAGCATGGGGAGGGAGAACTGACTGAGAAGCACTTAGGAATTTTAATAGCTCAACTTTTTAACCTCCCACTCTGAAGACACCGGTTCCTCGTATTTCATTCAACAACTTCAATTTTGAGTCAGGGGAATCCTTACGATTACGAGGGCCTGATCGATTTCTGTTACAAAAAGGCAAACGACCACGACCTATGCTTATCTCAGATCGGGTACTCAGATCGGCCATAAAAAGTAAGCACACCGGGGCTAAATATTTCTTTTAGACATCTATGATAATGAAACTTGCACTGGAGTAAATTTAATATTCACCTAATCGGATCAACTGATTAAAACTGGCTTACAAACTAAGGGTAAGAGAATAATTCACGGACACTGATACGGCATTTCAGCATTTTGGCACAGTCAGTTCTTTATTATCACTGAATCACTAATCGCCAAATCAAAACAAACCTTAGTTCTTAGGGAAGCCACAAGAGCGCTGCTAAATGAAAATATTTAAATTTATCCCGGGAAGTTTGAAAATGCGGGGAAGTTTAATTTTGCCGCAAACTCTCCACGCCGAGAAAAGTAAACGGAAGGTCATAGTTTCTTAAAATCTTGAGAGAGAAAAATCAAATTTAAAAGCTAGGCACAAACTTTTGTTTTTTAAGCTAAGAAGGGTTTTTTTTATGGATTGCGTGAGATTTCGAGTGTATCGAGGGCTAAAAATCAAAGGTTCAAAACAAATAGAAACAAACACAATATGGAGACAGATAGGGAAATGACGCCCGTTGATGACGGCGCAGAGATACAACTATTCGTACGCGATGGATGTCCGTGTTGCATATTCAATTAAATTGAAGGCGCGATAGCGCGAGGAGTGCGACGTGGCTCGCAATGCTTTGCTCTATGTTGTCAGTGTGGTGTCTCCTCAATTCGGGTGAAAAGTTAAAACACGAGGGCGAATTACGTCTCTTCAATCTTCGACTTTGTTGCTTCCGTAGCCCTTGAAGCACCTCTACAAATAAGGTACACGGAAACAAACACAATGTGGATACAGCAAGGTAAATGACGCGCATATATTGATGACGGCGCAGAGATACAACTATTCGTACTCGATGGATGTCCGTGTTGCATTTTCGAAATTGAAGGCGCGATGGCGCGCGAGGTGTGAGTTCGGAATGCTCCCCTTTAAGCTGCTACTGAGATGTTGCTCCGATCTGGGTGAAAAGTTATTAATGTACCAAACTATATGCGTAATTATTCGGCCTCGCGGAAGAAATGTTTTCAATAATATTTCTTTTAGAGGTGCCAGTTTCTTTTCCGTCTATTCAATTTTGTGCCAGTAATTCAATCATAGATCTAGAGGGGTTTTTTTTTATGACATCCATCAGTCCGTATTATTCGCAAAGAACGATGTTCCATTCAGCTACGAGCCATCAAAACCTTCCAAGAAGCAATTTGAGTACACAGTCCTCTTAAAATCGCCATATTTAGTCATTATTCAGTCGAAATTGGCAAAAAATTGGTGGGTTGAAATAGTAATTCTGAAACTACGTATCTCGGAATTTAGTGTTGGCCCGTGGTCCCAAAAACACGTATCTCCGTTTTACGGTCATTTCTCCTGACAGAGGGGAATATCATTCAAAATGCTGATAGGGTCTTAAAATGCATCCTTTCCTTGCTATCTCCTAGAAATTCCCCTGTACCTACCTGTAGGTTTAGTGGCTCATTATAAATTGAACATCCACGATCGCGGGTCTACCCTCGATGTGGATACAGAGTCATGCATAGCTTGGCACGATCACACACATGAGGCTCGAATGCCCCCCCCCCCCACCCTCCTCCTCTCTTCGACACACCTAGTCGTTTGCCCCAGTTTTAACTAACATCCAATGCAGAGACACTTGTTTCTCGTTCACTTCTAGGTATGTCTTGCTCATTCATTGTTTATGATGAAGTTTTATAAACATTGTTGATAGATGAGGCTCGAGAGAGATCATAGGATTTTACTGCAGGAGAGGAGGATTTCGTCATTTTAGTTCGGCCGGGCAACACTGGAGGAACTGATAGTGTGTCACGTTGCGTTATTGTTTCGTAGCATGAAGCGTTCGGTTCGTTCTTTTAGTGTTTCATAGGTTCAATGTTCATATTAAGCACAGGAGATTAGGAAAGATCACAGGTTGTCAAGTTCGCCGCTTTGCAGCACTGTTCTTCTCTGCATCCATCATTGGGAAAGAGATTGCGGATTATTTGATTAATTGGACTACATTTTGCAATTTGGAACTATCAATTCTGGCTCATCTGAAAAAACACTCATGTGCATAGGGGCACTAATGGCACATACGTTGTTTTTAAACCTGGCCAGAATTTATAGTTCCAAATTGCAAAATGCAGTCCAATTAGTGGAAAGGTTTAATATAACACTAATGTGCCGAGGAAAAACGTCGTATAGACATCGGGTGTTGCCAAATCTCCGCCGACAAAATATTTATTTTAGAGAAAAGTTGAGAATATTTTCTTTATTTTTCGTATACTTTACATCAAATTTTGAGTAATATTTTGTAAAGAAATAAAAAAAAATATGCATTGAGTCTCTGGCAAGTTTCGATTTTATCAATGGAGATTTGGCAATGTCTGAATGTTCGCACGGCGCTTTTCCCTTAATAGTACGACAGCATGAAGAGGTACATCGCGTTCAAATGCGCTCCACGACATACCCATAATATTGTGGGGTCAACTCTTTTTTTGCCTTATTTCCAGCAGATTAGATATTTTCGATTTCGCTGGATTTTAACCATGTTTTTTTTTTTTTTTTGCTTTTTAAGCGCAAAATATAATTTTGAGGTATTTATACGATTCAAGAGGAGTCTTGCAATGGTCTGTGCAGCATGGCCGGATTTACCTACTTGCCGCCCATGGGCCGCCTGTACTTTACCGCCCTCTTCTCATTCATTTTTAAATATCAATAAAAACCATCAAGTGAACGTGTCGGAGGGAGAAGGGTGCATAAGACGCGTTCACTCGTGTTGAACACATTTTTTGCGTAAGCCCTGTCAACACTACTAGCAAAAGTTCACGGAACTTCGCGCGAAAGTCCAGTTCCGTAAACCTATCTCTGTGGGGACAAGGCCTTTCATTTGTAAGAAATGAACTAAAACATTAAGAAAGAACAAACATAAATGTGGTTTAATAATTTTAACTTCCGCCGCCGTGCCGCGCTGACCACACTGTGTTTGGCGCAATGCGTGAAGTATTCATGTAGTCTTGTAGGCGCTGTGCGTTTCTCGCCGCGCCGACCGCTGTTGACCGTACTGTGGTTGACGCAATGCGTGAAGTATTCATGCAGTCTCGTAGGCGCTAATACGTGTTACATGCCGACCGCCGCGCCGAGGGCTTCTCCTTTTCATCTCAAGTCCTCGTCATCATTTCTCTTTGCGCCGCAACGCTCCAGGCCAAATTACGTGTTTGGTTTCTCTCTTAACTCAACTAAATAAAGGTGCGCAGTCTTTTGTATCACCGGAATACGACAAAATTAGAAATTAATGAACTCTTAGGAAATGAGAGATTTTGTCACCTTTTCTTGTTTGTAATTTTTTTCTGAATCCGATTTTTTTATACTTGCATTTAAAAAAATTGCGAAATTTGCCGCCTCCTAATTTTGCCGCCATGGGCCGCGGCCCATGTGGCCACCCCCTTAATCCGGCCCTACTGTGCACTGTGCATCCCTCTTCTATCCACGCAGTACTGCAAAATGTCGGGCATGTTAAGTAAATCGTGCGAGATGCATAAAAATGACTCTCATGTATTTTTTAGCTTTGACTTCGAAAAAAAAAATTAAAATGAATGAATAAATAAATCATAAGAAAGAGATCAGACTACATTCTAATAAAGGAGTGGTTGGGCTAATTCCTTTAAATCCGTCCAATTGATCGGAGGACTATCAAATCTTTCCCCTCTAGCACCACCGTTAAAACTTCTAGTCAAAACAAAACTTTTGCGGCAGACCTTAGAGATTTTAGGGGCTGTATGATATATTTTAAGGTTTGGATGACATATTTTGTTCTAGTGGGGCATTTTGAGACTAATTATAACTAATTTATAAGTGAAAATTTAGGGGGCGGCGAGCACTCGTATTTTAACCAGCGAATAAATCTGTAAGGAGAGGTGGCAGACTTAAGAGTACCTACTGTTAATCTACTCTCTGGAGTGATCCACAAAAAACCAATTGAAGTCAACGAAGGATCAATGATCATAGAGAAGCTCTCGAGACTAGAAGACCATAACCGCACCTGAGGACGCTGCCTTGCTAAGGAAAAACGCCCTATGAGCCTTTAAACGTTGCCAAATTTACTTCGATAAAAACCAAATTTTCTTGGAGCATTACGAACATTTGTCTTCAAATTTTTCAGATAATTTTGCTTGCAATTTGATCTAAGATATCTGCAAATTTCAAGAAGAAATACGAATAACTTTCCTCAAAAATACATGTTTTATCTGAAGAAATTTGGCAACTCTCGATTGTTCATACGGCGTTTTTCCTTGGCACAGCGGAATGGTCCATCGAACACTGGAGTGGATTGAAGTGGTTATCTCACGAGTCGGAGACCCTCGTGTTGTCGGACAAAGCAAACAGTCATTAAGACCCTCCTCGATGACACGTTTATTGCTATTGGCGGTTACTTATGGTGCTAATCAATTTATGGATGTTGCATTCCTGTACTCGCCTCCCATCCTCCACGTTGAACCGCTGCCGTTTGAATAATCTTCTGTGACGATATTGTGCCTTACTACTCATTCATGAGTAATAAGTAGGAGTATACAAACATCTACGACTTAATAAGCTCCTTGCCATGCTAGCCAAATTGATGGCTTTATCGTACGATTTCTAGCTATTTCACTGCCGTGGATTTCCGGATTCATGTTTGTATGATGTTGATATTTTTATGTCGATTTGGAAAAACAGATGTTAAGTAAAAGTCGGACCGTCGCTGCTCCGGCGCAAAGTGGAATGAGTCAATTGAAGGGGTCGGACAAAATTTGG